TGGGTCAAGGAAAGCTTGGGGGTCAGGAACCCACCCACTCCATACCCCATGGCAAGTGCTATCTTAGGGAACAGTGCAGTCCATGCTGGGGTGGTGGGTCTTCCAGGTTGAGAAGGATGTGTGGGACACAGACCTCCCCTGAGGAGAGGAGCTGAGGCCAGTGGCCAGCCACAGAGTTGGAATGGAGGTGTCCTCTCCCCTCTGCACGAGGTAGGGTGTGGCAAGCACTGTGACACCCAGAGACTCTCAGCCTGGCAGCAAGTGGTAAGATGAGACCCAGAGGAGACAGGGAAGGGGTATGTCCTTTCCTGAAGCCTGGGTGGGCAATGTAAGAGCCCCAATGCTTGGGGCCCTGGACTGCCATTTAAGCAGTATGACCTCCTGCTGGACAGAGGCCACATGGAGCATGGGAGGGGCCTGACCAAATTCCTGGCTCAAGGGGCAGTGAGCTATGAGGACAGTGCCATGTCTGGGCTGGTTAGTCCTACAGCATCCTAACAGGGACATGGGAGGCCCAGCTGGCTGCCTCGGGAGGAGTACAGGGCTGAAGACAGCAGAGCCACAGGCCCTACACCACTCTGTGGTCCCCTACCCTCCTGGGGATCCCAGCCTCCTCATCCCTTGGGGCTGAGGGCTGGATACAGCTCCATTACAAGGATGAGAGTTTTGCGAGTCTCAAACTGGTCCAGAAGCGCAGTGACCAGAGGGTGGCTCAGCTCCGCAAGCATGTCTCTCTCCCGGTAAGCCTGGGTACGTGTCCTGCTCCGTAGGGGGATGAACTTGGCAGCACAGGACATCTGGTTGCCCTTGTGCTGCACTCTCTTCACGAAGCCGAACACACCCCTGGGAAGAGGGAACCCCATGCTAGACTCCTAAGATCATGCCCAGAGGGAGATGGGGAGCAGCATTCCTGGCAGGCGGGGTTTCCAGATGGGCAGGGGCTGTGGGGAGTGGGTACTGGGGAGGCAAGGGCTTCCTAGAGGTGGGGCTCCCAGGTGGAACCTCTTGGAGATGGGCGGGTACTCTGGGGCATGGGATGTCGGTGGGGCCTTCCAGGACTCAAGCTCCCTAGGGATGGAGTTGCTGAGCTGGTGGGATTCCTGAGAAGCAAGGGTTCTGAGAGAACCCGGGCTGGGCGGTGGTGAAGTTCTGGGGGTGAAGAGGGGAGTAGGCAGAGAGTACTCAGGGGTGGCCTTGGAGAAGTGGGGTTCCCAGGAAGCAGGGGTATTTGGGTGGTGGGGACTCCAGAGTGCAGGGTCCCCTGGGGGGCTGGGGGTTTCTGGGTTGGGGACCCTGGGAAGCCAGGGTTCAGGACTAGGCAGGCAAGGGGGCAAGGTTCCTGGGGTAGGCTAGCAGGGTACCTCCCAATCTCCTCTTTGACCTCGTAGAAAGAGTGCAGTTTTCTCCGATAGCTTTGCTTCTCTAGGTCCAGGTTGCTGTCCCCTGTAGCCAGGAAGCAGTGAGCCATCAGTGCAGACAAAGATCCCCACCCATCCTGCTGTTCCCCAACTCTGTAGTGTTTGAGGGGACAGTTCCCTGTGCCTGGGCCTATAGGAGCCCACAGAACCCCACACCCACATGGAGCCAGGATCGGGCCTGGGAGAGGTTCCCCAACTCACCCCCATGCACCAGTAGCTCTGCCTTGCACAGCACCTGGCCACCAGCGTTTTGGGCCAGGCAGGTATAGACACCGGCATCATGCTGGGCCACATTCCTAAGTACCAGGGAGTAGGTTGTCCCTTCCTGCTGCTGGCTGAGCCATGTGCTGTCCACCAGCTGGATGCTGTCCTGGAGGCAGAGGCGGTGGGGTGACCATGAGCCCAGCCTTGGGATTCAGCACTGGGGTCCACCCCGCCTTCAGTGAGTGACACAGAGTGTCCAGTGGGGATTTCATATACTCCTCCTCCAGGCATAGGGTCCCCACCCCCCACATGTCCCTACCTTATACCAGGTCACTGTGGGCTGTGGGTTACCCTCGATGACAGCCTGGAATGTTGCTGTGCTGCCCTTCCATGCCTGCACATCCTCGATGGTGACCTGCATGGATGGGGGCTCTGGGGGTAGGGGGGAACTTGTGGGAAGGAGTCCAGGCTGCACAGACTGGCCATCCACTGCATCCCACACTGCACTGAGTCTGTGAGCTGGGGCCTGTGTCACCAAGGCCTTGGCGGGCTGGCAGGGACTCTGGGTACATCCTGGTGTCCCAGGTGAACAGCAAGGCCCTCAGATACCCCCAGAGTGACAGAGTCCACCTGTCTCCCAAGTGAAGGTGACCCCCTCCTGACTCCACCCAGGCTCCTGACAGTTAGGAAGTACTTGCTTCCATCAGAGTACTGCCTCTCCTGCTTGAACCCTGGCTCTCTGGGGCCAGGGCACACAGAGCATCCTAACACAGGCCGCAGAAAGGCTGCCCAATTCACTGCTGCCTGCCTCCCTTCCCAGTGAAGCCCTCTGAGGCGGTTCATGGACTGAGGGCAGCAGGGGTGGCCACAGCAGGGTTGGCACACATCAGATGGCCCCCTTGTGCAAGTGTCACCCAGCAGAAGGCACAGGATCACATACGCAGCCTACTTGTGGCCCCCGAGTCGCCGGCCTGGTACATGTATGTCCGGTGCGTGGTCTCTGTGAACACGTGGCTGCAGACATCCCAGAGCTCCGTGGCCCCTGTCTCTGGCCAGGCTGTGGTCTCCACCCTGGAGCCAGGCAGTGAGTTGAGTTGTCTGCCTGCCAACCCACTGCTGGGGGTGGGCACTGACCCTTGAGCTAAGTTGGGTCCCTGCCACACCCTCACCTAGGGCTGCAGCAGATGATTTGGGAAGGAATGTAGAGCCAGGGCCCTCAACACCTCTCACCCAAGAGTGGGGCTGACAAGTAATGTCCTGGGGTACTGTGAGCCTCCAGCCCCACCCCCAGATGTCCCTCATGGAATGTCCCTCCTAGCATTCCAGGGACATTACCTCATGGGAACAGTTTGTTCGTGTGCGGCGGAAAGGGCCTCCAAGCCCTGACCCTGGCTTGTAGGGTGAAGGGACTGCAGCACCTTCCTGGGCTCTGCTGGGAGAGGCCAGGGCCAAGTGAGACAGAGGTTGGGGTGGGGCTGGGGCTGTCCACCACCACGTGCCCCTGCACCACCCTCCAGGGCCCAGAGGGCGGGAGCACAGGCTGAGCAGGGTGCAGGGTCTGCATCCCCAAACCTGGGCTCCTGCCACACATGCACACTTACTCCAGGGCACCCTCCTGTCCCAGCTGGTAGTCTGGGCCACCAGCCCTGAACTGCCTAACCCCTAACCCCGACCCCACCCTGAGAAGGGATGCAGCAGCCTTGGCAGCCTCCCTGCAACCACATCTGTCAGGCGAAAGGTGTCCCCTCCTTGTCCTCTTCCTTCTCCAATTTCCCCTTCCTCCTGGCCTGCCCTGAAGCCTAGGGTGCCCAGGCTGTCTGCCAGGGGTCTGAACTGGCAGGCCTCTCACACGCAGGACAGATGTGTTCAGGGTGGGCAGAACCTCCCCGAACCACCCCCTGCCTACTTTCATAGATAGCCTGAGCGACGGGTGGGCCTTGCCCAGGACCTCCAGAGATGCCTGAGCCCCCAGGGTTCTTCCAGTTCCTTCCAATGGGATGGGCACCCATGAGGACTAAGGTTGGGGTTAGCACAGAGGAGGGGGTTCTGACAGCAGGGGGTACTTTGCAGTCAGCCCACTGCTGCTCCTCACTGGGTTCATGTGCAGCCTTTGTGCACAGGAGCTGGGGGCTGGCTTCCTGAAGAGCAAGTGGCCCCCTGGGGATTAGGCTGGCGTGGTCTGCTGCAGAGGTTCCTGGAGCCTCAGGGCCCGTCAGCGTCCTCTGGAGAGACCTAATGTCCTGGTCCTCTTGCTCCAGGGAAGCTGGGGATGGGACAGCAGCACCTGTGGGAAAAGCAGGTCAGCATGTAAGGGTGAGGCATGGCCTGGGCCTAGGGAGGGGCTCCAGGAAACCCATCTTGATCCTCAAATATGTCCAGGGGAGCTGACCAGGCTGCACTTCCCACTGCCTGCTCTACCTACCCACCACTACTCTCCCAGGAGGCGCAGGTGGTGGGGCCTTGACAGAGAAAGGGGCCTGGGAGTGGATGGAGAGGGTGCTTAGGGGAGTGAATGCAGAGCCATGGAGAAGGTCACCTCCCAGGGCAGCTGGGCTCGGACACCCGCCTTGTGCCCCCTTTGTCCCTCAGTCTTTGCTCTCCACATCCCTTCATCGCACACTGGCCTCCCCCTTGGCTCACTCTGGACACCAGGATATGGGAAGCCTGCAGCCTGACACCAAGTCAGGGGCCTGGGGGTCCACAGGGGTGTGCTCCCTTGCTACCCTCCCACGGTAGCCCCATCCTCAGCCGTGGAGGGGATTCCACCTGAAGGCCTATCCACCCTTCCCTCCAAGTGCAGCCTGACTGGACCCAGGCCACTACACACTCATCTGGCTCCTGCCCTGGCCTCCCTTCCCAAAGGAACCACTGGACCCTCCCTGCCCTCAGCCCCAGGTGCAGTCCTTTCCTGCGCCTGGCTGCCAGCTCTGGGTAGCATCACTGAGACCTGACAAGTGTACCCAAGTCGTGCCCACTGTTCCATTCCCACCAGGTCCCTGGCTTAGAGCCCTCCCCTGCCCCAAGACCCTCTCCCACATCAGGGCACCCACCTTGTCCTTTCCCATCCCAAGGAGGACCCCACATACATCATACCCCCGCTGTATGTCCTGACAGCAGCCCAGCTGCACAAGGGCCAGGAAGGCCTGCTCACCCACAGCAGGCTGAGAGCCACCACCATGGGCAGGCATATTGTGTGCACTGGCAACCAGCCCTTCAGCCCAAGTGCTAGCAGGCTGGAACGACAAGCTGTCCTGTCCCCACCCACAGACCCAAGGGTGGCCAGGACCCACCCATAGCTGCCAACAGAGGGCCCAGCCTAGAGGACCCCTCTTGGCCAAGTTGCCAGAGCCACTGGAAGAAGAAAGAAGGAGCAGAATATGGGGTGCAGGAGCCAGTTTATTATCATCATGGAGTTAACTAACAGGGGCTGCTTCCCACCTACAGACTCCAGCCCACTCTGCAGGGGAGGCCCAAGAGGTCTGCAGCATGGGCCCCAGAGGGCCTCAGCTGGCCTTCCTGGAGGCTGAGAAAAATGTCCATGGGGAAGATGTGCCCTCAGGGAAGCCCCACTGAGCACCTTCACATGGGGCAGGACTGTACCGCAACAAGCAAAGTGGGACACAGGCCAGAGCTGGTCTCCCTGTTGCTCCCACAGAACTGCGATAATGTGGGTAACAGCTGTGCATACAGTGTTCTCAGCTGGAGACCCCCTATGAGGTAGGAAGCACCTGGTGGGAGGATGGGCAGCTCAAGTCCCGAATTGCTGGAGAACAAGGGCAGGGTCAGAGCATATGTCCTGAGGTGCTGGCTTCAGGCCTCTCTCCTGAGCCCCAAATACAGGACAGCTGTGAAGCAGGTGGGTGCAGATGCCAGGCCGGGCCCTAGACCTCAAAGCCAGGCCTCTCCTTCTGCTCCCCCTGCGCAGCCACAGCAGCCGACAGCCCTATCAGCAGTTTCCTGGCTCCAAGAGAGTCCCTGTTTCAACCCCCCCAGCTGTCTGTGCCCTTGACCACAACCACAGCCTTAGCCCTGGGAGGGGCTGGGGCCCTCATCCCCGTCCCGACGAAGGTGCAGGGTGACTGTCTCGCCCACTGTCCCGAAGCTGGCCCTGTGGGTGGAAACCTCCGTTTTGAAGCTACTCTGGCCACTGTCTGCAGAGCGATGGACCTGGGTGCGGAAGGACGGCATCCAGGGTGTGGGACCCTCAGCCCAGGTCTCCCGCACACAGGAGGCACCAGGACGGCCGCAGACCTGAGGCCCTAATGGAGCCCCCTCCTGGGAGAGGTGGCTGAAGAAGCCAAGGGGGCCTTGGGAGCCCGGTGGGCGCCCCACATTGAGCAGGATGGGCTGCCCCACAACGGGCTCACGGATCTCTCTCTGGAGCACTGAGACCTCGCAGGGTGGATCATCAGAAGCACCGGTCATGGGGCTGCTGCGGCCAAAGGTTTCCCCTTCTCGGGGCACGTAATCCTCCAGGTCAGCCAGCGTCAGCACACAGCCATCGTGTGTGAGGATCTTGGGGTCATAACCCCGAAGGTCATGGGCTCTTAGGGGCTCCTTTGTCAGGCAGACACCTGCCCCATCCTGCACCTCCAGAGGGGCTTCCTCTTCAGCGGCCCCGGGAGGGGACAGCTCAGGGCTCTCCAGTCCAGCGCCCACACAGAAGACTCTGCCCTGGGGCAGGGACCCCTGGGCCAGCAGCTTGTTGTTGGAGTTGTTTGTGTTGGGGTCTCCTCCTGGGGTCCCACCAGGCAGCGTGAAGAGAAACCCCGCCGAACTGCTGGGCACCTCTCTGGCTGGAGATGCACCTCTCGGGCCTGTTTTCTTCACCCGGACTTCAATGGTCTCCTCGACCTCCACCCACTTGGAAAGGGGCCCAGTGCCCTTGGGCAGGGCCGGCGTGTGGGCTCCAGGCTCTGTCACGTACAGCATGGGTACAGTGGGCCTCCAGCCTGGCTCCACCCCTGGCCTGCAGAGCTGGCCGACCCCTGGTGATTGCAGCAGCTCAGGGGCCAACAGGCCTGGCCTGGAGGGACTGGCAGGGCGGCGGGAAGGCGAGAGGGAGGGAGACTTGCTGGGGGACTGGAGACGGCCATGGGGGCTCTTCACCACGGTGGTGATGGTTTCCTCTCTGCAGGGAGAGGGCCGAGAGGGGATGGCACAGAGACCGTAGCCCAGCTTGCCACCCATGCCACCGCACATGCAAGGCTAGCACGAGAGTTCAGGTTAGTGTGTCAGCAAGCAAATGGTGACACTGCACAAGCTCCTACATGTGCACTTGAGCTCAGTCTCTAGAACTTCCAGCCAGAGAACCAAAGAAACAAACAAAGTCTCATCTTCTCAACCAGAGGCTCTGGACAGGGGCTAAGACATCGCTGCATCACACCGGTGCCCCCAAACCCCAGACCAAGTCCAATCTGCAGTGTTCCTCTGGGCCAGTGTTCCCTCCCTTTCATGGTGACCCCATTTGGGAGATGCCAGTCCTCCTCAAAGAGCTGATGGACAGGTACTGCCCCATAGCTCTCCCTGTCCGTTCCACCAGTGTTTTGTGCTTTGCATCATGGGAGGGGGTGTTCCCCAGTAAGCTCTCAGAGGGCAGGGACAGACTGGGCAGTTGATGCCACAGGTGCTGGTGCAGGTGAGGATTGTCAGAGCCCTGGCATGCAGCCTGTGTTCCTAGCCTCTTGATCTGGGTTATGATGCTAGTCAAGGATACCTGGCTCGGAATGTGATTCTGCTGTCATAGGCTTTGTGACCTCAGACTAGCTTTTCCCCTTCTTGGGCTTTGTCTCCCAAAATAGGGGATAGCAGGGGAAAGGAGGCAGAACTGAAGGCCGGTTGCATGTGAGTGTACATGAGGTGCTGACTGGGGACTCTGCAGCAGCACTGGGGGCACAGGTCTGACCTAATTCTACAAGGCTAAAAAAGGCTCAAAACTTGCCCCAGACCAACAGGCAGAAGCCCGCCCACCAACCAGCCAGGTTTTCCCCTGCCATCCAGTACCACTGAACTGGCTGGGCACTAAGGATACAGTGAGTGACAGGCAGGAAGCAGAGATGGGCTGAGTGACAGAAAGCCTTCCTGGGCCCTGTCTTTCCTCTCAGGCCCAGGCAGGAAGACTTGACATGAGAATGGTGACAACTCAGTGCTGTCGCCAGCTGCCTGCCATGACTAAGGTGCTGTCTCTCTCTCCAGCTTTACTTTTGTCTGGCTCAGAGCTGTACCCAGGAGCAGTGACATCCAGGCAGGGCCTGAGATGTGTGGCCACAACTCAGGGTGTGCAGCAGTTACAGGTCCTGCCCCTCCAGCCCTCACCTGGCAAAGGGGAAATACTATTCCCACTTAACTGATGGGAAACTGGGGTGTGTGGCGGCGGCCTGCCTTCTAGCCTCACACTCAGGCCCAGAGGTACGAATGTTGGGAGGACCTGGGCTGGGCCCCATCTTCAGGCCTCAGGCTGAGATAGGACAGGGAGTCAGGTGCAACTGGAATGCTGGCTCACTCCTCCGAATGCTACCCTCTCCTGGTGCAGCCCTGGCCAGTGGCTCAGTTTATTGGAATGTCATCCCACACACCCTAAGTTTGCAGGATCAATCCCTGGTCAGGGAACATACAGAAGGCAACTGATGGATATTTCTCTCCCATATCAATGTCTGTCTTCTGTCTGTCTCTCTCTTGCCCTTCCTCTCTCTAAAATTCTCTAGTAAAGATTTTTTTAGAAGCCACCCCCTTCTACTGGGCTCACTGCTGCCCCCATGAGGGCACGTGGGCCTCCTGCTCTGAGGCCACTGGCACAGTATGGGGGTACTCAGCAGCAGTGGCGTTCTGTCTCTCCGAGCCAGTTTCCTTCTGGCCCTCTTGGCCCCCCATTGTCCCTCCTGGTGCAGTATGCCCCTGGTGGGGGCATGCAAGGCCAGGCAGTTGCCTCTCTCCTCTCCTCAAGCTGAAGGGCCACACTTCCTGCAAGGCATGGGTGGCAACTTCCAGCGGCCTGGAACACAATGAACTTGGGGGCCAGGAGCTGCCTCATCCAGCCTCCCACTGGCACGGGTCATCTCTGATGCCTCCCCCCGGGCCGTCTGGCCCCATCTGTGCTGATCCATTTGTCTCCATCGAATGTAAACAAGAACAATAATCCCCTCCAGGATGAGATGTGGAGTTGATCTGGGTCAGGCTGTGGAGTGCCAGCCGTGGGGCTTTCATTGCTGCCCCAGGCAGCCCCTTCTGCTGGGGGGGGGGGGCGCGTGGCCTGCTTTGTGGGAAGAGTAAGCAGGTCAAGGAAAGATCAACCCAGGATCTCATCAAACGTCTGAACATGGGATTCTCCAGAGATGTAACCAACGGTTGGCCCCTTAAGAGGACTAGGAGGTTACCCACCCGAGTTCTCGTCACCTGGCCTTTGGAAACAACAGTCATTCTCACCTCCCAGCTTTGGCAAGCTTTTCCACCACCTCCACCTGTACACATCTCCTCCTGGAAATCCTCTCAGGGTGTCCAGGCCAAAACTAACCCTGCTTCTGTGGGTTCAGCTAGCTCTGGACCTCTTGTGCTATTCATTTATGAACAGCCATGTGGCTTTTCCCTCAGCCTTGAAGGCACTGAAGGATGAGGAAGGACAGTGGGTGTGGCACCAGGGAAATGGGTTCTCAGCCAGCTTTTAATCATGAGTCACCTTAACCAACACTCCTCTCTTCTCTGAACCTCAGTTTTATCATCTTTCCAATGTGAGGGTTGGACCTGGAGACTTTTAAGGTCCCTAGAGCTGTGTTGTCTACTATGATTACACTATTTTAATTAAAATCAAACTAGTGAAAATTAGATAAAATTCAGTTCTTCAGTTGCACTAGACACTATTAAATGCTCAATAGTTGCATGCAGCTAGTGGCTGCTGTGGGAGGCTATGTAAATATGCACTGTTTCCATCGTCACAGGAAGTTCTGTTGAACAGTGATGCCCTAGGTCCCAGGGTGCTGAAGGGCAGAAACATACCACTAGCACCCTGGGACACAGCTGTCGGTCCCAGGTTCACCCCAACTGGTGAGACTCTGGGTCCAAGCCCTGGGTGAGACACTGTGAAGTATGTGGGGGTAGTCTGCCCTCAGAGGCAGGGCAGCCATGGTGAGGGCTCTGAGGCCCTGGAAGAGAGAGGTCAGCAGCATGAAGGTGGCCATGATCCCAGGGGAAGGGCAGCTGCCTGGGACTCTGCAAGGTGCTCCCCTCTGTGTGGCAAGCAAAGGCTATAAGGGCGACAGTCAGGCGAGCAGGCAGCCAGACCACACAGGCAAGGTCCAGGTGGGTTAGTGGGCATGCAGGGGGCACTGCAGTCAGAGGGAAGGTTAGCAACACGCCTGCACTTACATGATGACGGTTTTCTTGGGGACTTTAGTCTCCTGCTCAGTGACTACAAAGAAAACAGTCGGAATAGCGAGGGTTACAGATCAGCCAGCGCTTCGGGCTGAGCTCTCTGAGTGGTGTGGCAGCGTGGTAAGCCTCTCAGCTTTGGAGCCCTGGCTCCCAGCCCTGCATGGCAGAGTGTGGCAGGAACAGCTGCCTCTGCTTAGAGCCCCAGCTCCCTTGCCTCTGAAATGGTGACCATTTGTGCCTCGAGGAACATGGCAACAATGTGTGCCACAGGAGGGCAGCACCCCTGTCCCTCTTGAGGGTATTGCAGGGGCTTCAGGGACAGCCTAAGCTGCCCACACAGAGAAATCCCAGCTTCTCCTTCAGCCATGTGCCTAGGAAGCACTGGGAATTTGTCAGGCCCAAATTCTGACTTTTCAGACACAAGAACTGAGGGCTAGGGAAGGAGAAGAAATAGCCTGCAGCTGCAGAGTGAGCAAGCAGCCAAACTAGCACCAGGATGGCTGATGCAAAGAAACAAAAAACATCCTAGAGATCAAAGGTGTCTCTAGGAGAGAATGACTGGAGTCCTGGTGGAGGCACATCTGAGCTGTATGGCAGGAGACCACAGAGTTCCTTGGGAGCAGCCTGCAGGTTCCTGTCAGGGTCCTGAACTCCAAGGGAGCTGGGAGACCTAAATCTCCCAATAGGAGCACCAGGCTCTCCTCCTCTCTGGAGTCAGCGGGAGAGGGCCTGCAGTCCCCGTCCTGCGAGGGAAACAGGACCAGGTAGCAGGGTGCCCAACCATCTAAGTCCTCTTTCCCTGTTGCTTCTGTGCAGGGTTGGGTCTGGCACACAGATGTCCTACCCGGTCTTGCCCACACAGACAGCAAGCATTCCACAGCTACCAGCACCCTCACATCTCAACATCCCTTGTCACCGTCCTGCAGGGAGATTGAAGGGAAGGCTCAAAGTTCCGGCAGCAGGGCCCAAGGCACAGGGCCTCTGCCCCTGGTCTGCAGGTTTTCTGCTGTGCTGCCGTGCCACGTGGAGTAAGGTGCACCTTAGGCGACCGAGAACATGTGAGCTTGTCTCTGGTTAGGTGTGTGTGAATTGGATATTCTACTTGTGTCAGTGTGTGCCATACTGGGACACACATTTGGGAGCCACACTTACTGCATGTGTGCACGAATGTATGTCTGCCTGCATGTGTATGCACACTGATGTGTGTGTCTGTGTGTGTAAGCTGCTTCCTGGAGGGAGTGCAATCCACTGGGGGAGAGTAGGATCAGCCAAAATGCCATGTGTGTGGTCTAAGTGGGACCCAGAAAGAGCCAGACCCTGTGCACAGAGCAACAGAGACACAGCGCCCTGTCCGTCACCCTTCCTGGCCAGGGCCTGTCCTGCTGCTCTCGGGAGTGGTGGCCTGGCACCCTGCACTTTGTCCCTGACCTGACTGCCACCTGACAGGCCCTGGGCCCCGTGAGTGCTGGCGACCACAGGGAGGGTGCAGCCTTGCAAAGCAGGGCTTCCAGCCCAGCGCAGTTTCACAAGCGAGGGGGCAGTGCCCACCCCACAGGGTCAGTTGGCTGCGGGGCCACCAGGTTAACAATGAAGCAGCAGGACAGGGTTAGGAAGCAGGAGGTGGGAGGCTCCAACACCAGGGTTCACGAGGACGGCCATCTCCCTGAGTGAGGCATAGCCCCGGTTCCTGCACACAGTTATGGAATGTTGACAGAAAAAGATCCATGGTGACAGCAAAGTGAATGACTCTGTCAGACGTACTTATCACCCACCAACAGGGCGTGCCATGGCCATGGCCCCTGCTTGGCACATCCCCGTGAGATACCACCCAGCAGGACACAGAAGTGCCATAGACACCCCGGGGGCTCCTGGCAGGACGTGGCTCAGCCGGTGCAGGCTGCCCTCTGGGGGACGAGGAACAGGACCCCTGCCCACAAGAGAGGGCCCGGTCCCCGAAAGGCCCTGGAGGACCTCCAAGGCCCCAAGGCCAATCTCTGAGCACTAGGTGGCCTGAATCTGTGAGGATCGAGATGGACAGTGGCCCCCAGACATTGGGCCCTGGGAAGCACTGGATCCAGTGGCCCAAAGATCATTGAAGCCAACTTTCAGAACTTGGAAGGACACTTATTTCAACTCATCCTGCTATGAAAGCTACAGCTGCACCAGCTGTTGGCCCAGCCTGTGTTTCATGTCTCCAGGGATGGGAGGCTCACCACCTTACCAGACAGCCCCTCCAGGTGGCACAGCTCAGACTGGAAGAATTTCTCCCTGGGGTGGTAGCCTGCTCCGTAAGCCCCATAAAGCTGCTCTCTCAGTCTGAGCAGGCCCAGGACAGGTGCCAGCTGCCCTCGTCTCCATCCTGGCCATCCCCTGCCACACCCAGCTGGGACCTTGGAGCCACCGTGCATGTGAGTGGAAACATCTCCCTGCCTTCCCCTCCTGCCCAGCACCACACCTTTCCCAGAAGAGGCCCATCCTGCAGTCTGGCCCACCCCTCGCTCTCCAAGGACCCCAGGGGCAGCACCAGGACCCCAGAGGCAGCCAGGGGCTGTGCTCAACATGGACAGCCAATCTGGTGTGGAGGGACCAGGCTCCGACACCTCTTGCCTCTCCCAGGAGCCAAGCTGGAATCCAGTAGCCTACACTCTGCACTTGGCAGAGACCCCTCTTAGGTGGAGCTGTCCCATCTACTGCGCCTCATGCCCTTCCCACGAGGACTCACTTGCCTCTGCCTAGCAGACTGCTCAGGCTCAGGTCTGGCCTTGGGGATGGTAAGCAGGTCCTGAGTCTCGAACCCCAGGGCTGCCCCTCCAGCCTTGCCTGGGTTCTGGGTTTATGGACCACCACCAACTGTTCCCCACACCTGCTATTCCAGTCTGGGGCCTTGCAGCTCCTCCATAGCCCTGATACCTCTTCTCCAGGGAACATGCCCTCATTGGAAGGACTTATGGTCTCACCCCACCCGGCCCATGTGTACAGAGAATCCAGCCAGGCTGAGGCTGAGGCTGAGACCCTCAGTGGCTGCACCTACCTTCCACCATGGCAGTGGTGTGCTCCCGGCGGTGGCGCTGTTCCCCAGTCTGTAGTGTGGAGCTCTGCAGGCCCAGTTCCATGCCACCCCGTGTCGAGCCCAGCCGGTTCACCAGCTGTGGGACGGACAGTAGAAGCCACTGAGGGCCCACAGCTTCCCAAGGAGCCATGTGCATCTCTTTGGGGATGTAAGGACTGGCTAGAGCATGGGGGCACCCGCTCCTGTGTGTAGAGTTCTAAAGCCTGGCCACAGAGTCCTAGAGTGGCTACCATGTCCCCAAAGGGACCCAGTACTGCTCAGGATCCTATCATGGTGGAGGGCACTCTCTGTCCCCACTGTTCCAAATGTCAGCTTTGTGGGCCCTGAACACAGGAAATGGACTGAATCTTTACTTAGAGTTAGCTTTAACAGATTTAAATTTAAGTCATCATGAGTGGCCAAGAGTAACCAAATTGGACAGGGCCCAAGCTGACAAGACGATTTGTGTCCTCAGGACATGACATGAAAGCCAGACCCACCCCGGTCTGCCCCAGGCTACCAGCAGCACCATCTCAGAGGAGGATGGAGCCAGGCGGAGCCAAAGCCTGCACACTGTCCCACACTACTGAGGACACACCCTACCCAGGTCCCTTATGGAGCCCTGCTTGCACCTTACGATTGGTCGGTGACAGCAGGTCTGGGGTTCCCTGTATCATCATATGGTGGGTGACAGTGAACCTGGGGTTCTCTGTGTCATCATGGATGATGGGTGTCAGTGAGCCTTGGTGTTCCCTTTGTTATCATGGATGGTGGGTGACAGTGAGTCTGGTGTCCCCTCTCTTATCATGTGTCCTGGCTGATGATGACAAGCCCCCAGCCATGTTCCTGCACTCCTCCTCACCTCGCACTCGTAGTAGCCCACGTCTTCCTTGCTGGCCTCCCGGATCTCCAGCTTGAGCAGGCCACTGCGTGGCTCACTCAGGGTCCGGTACTTGCCACCAGGGGACAGCAGGGCCCCATCCTTGTACCACCTGAAGCCAGCCCTGGTGGTCAGTTGGGGCCTCTCCTGAGTCCCCTGTGTTCATGACCTTCCCTCACCCATCCCTCTGGTCAGGGTGCCCTTATAGTGCCCACCCCCTCGAACACCGCCTGCCCATATCCAGCTGGCAGGGTCTTCCTTGCTGCTGCTAGGGCTATGTCAGAACATACTGGTCCCAAGGCCCCCACTTGTTATCCAAAAGGCCGAGCTTCTGTCTTACCCATCCAGACCTTGTGTACATGCTGCCCACCCTTGATTTTCAGACAGAAGTGGCTGCCCCAGGCAGGCCCACCCCCTCATCACCCCAGCCCACCTGATCTGAGGGTGTGGGACACTTTCGATGGTGCAGGTGACCTGGGCGTCCTCTCCCTCCACAAAAGGTACTGCCCGGACCTTGTTCACAAACCGTGGAGGAACTGAGGGCCCGCAGGGCATGGGGCACAAAGGGAGACAGAGAGAGATGGAGAAAGACACAGAGACAGAGATAGGGACAGAGGGAGACATACACAGAGAGAGTGAGAGACACAGAAGGATGGAGGGAGGAAGAGATACAGAGACAGACAAAGATGGAGAGACAGGCACACAGAGAAAGAAACGAGAGATAGCATAAGGTGCAGGACCCCACCTGACAGTGAGCCCCCAGACCTGGGTCAGAGAGCCACAGCACCCACCAGCTCCTTCCGAATGTCTGCACCCCTTGGGCTGCTGCAGTGGATGTCGCCCAGGTGCCCTACACCCAGCCTCCCTCTCAGGCTTACCCTGCACCAGGATCTTGCCCAGGGTGCTGGCTGTGCCAGCGGTGCTAGCTGCAAAGCACATGTACTGGCCAGAGTCAGCGCCGGTCAGGTTGTCCAGGATGAGGGTGCATGAGCCATCCGGGTCTTCAATGAGAATGTGGTGAGGGTCCACCTCCACTGGCTTCCCATCTGGAAAGGAGGGAGGGCTGTCACAGAGGGGCCCCATGGGGATGATTGTCTGGACTTGCCTGGGGGTCAAAGTCACAGGTGGTGATGGGGAGTAGAGAGCAGCCCTAAAGCACAAGGGCCAGACGAGGCTTCCTGCTGAGGGTCCCGCTGGCCAAGCTGAGGAGCCCCAAACACTTCCCCAGACCTCTGTGTGCACAGTGCAGCCTCTGGAGGGCAAGCTCTTACCTGAAGGCAACAGATGTCTCATTCCAATAAGCAGACCCTGAACCACCTTGCCAATGAAGTGTGACTTCCAGATAACTCCTAGGCACTGATGGCTCCTCACAGCAGACACACTTGGACACACCCCATCTCTTTAATCACCCTTGTCCAAACACCCACCCAACCTAACATTTGTGCCCAAAATGTGTTTCTTTCCTGGGAGAGATATGTACTTTTCACTCAGAGGAACTCTTTCCTCCATAAATACGTTTAATTCCATAAACAAACACTTCATAATAGCTCTGCATGTGTGGTTTAAATTACAGTAGTTCATAACCAGCATCTTGACCTTTAATTCATAGGGAACCTTAAAAAATTACTTTAACATACACACAAAAAAAAGGCTCCAGCCACATCCCACTTCTCCGATGCACTGTACTGTGTTCCAGGAGAGTTGTTCTCACTCTCTCCCTGCTTCCAGAGCTGCCTTCTCATTGCCTCCCAAAACCCCTCCCCTCAGCTTCCATCCCCCACAGAACACATCTTGGTTAAGAGTCCATTCTCAGTCCTCATCCTATTGTCAGAAAACAGCTCTCCATGCCTCTCCTGCATTCCCATGCTGCCCACCCTGCTCCCAAGGGCTTGTGTGAGACCCCTGCAGCATCCAGGGCAGCAGAGACAGAGCCCTCTCCTTCCTTACAGCCTGCAAAGTATTTCTCTCTCTGGAGAACAAATAGGCAGGTGTGTCAGCAGCTCCATAAAAGCTCAGCCCCTCCTCAAACTCAGGGTCTCTCCTGCAGTGCAGTCCACTGTGTGAAGGTAATATTTGACCCTGGTCGTGGAGATCAGGGCAACTGACCAAAAACACTGCACTTTTCTGTGACCAGCAGTTTCTGTCTCTGACCTGCAGCTTGTGTCTGTGTCTGGCTGGCAGACACTTTGCAGCTTGATACTCAGTTTGGTGACCAGAAAGGGATGCTGTCAGAGGCATCATTCCAGAAGAGAAAAAAGGTAGCCAGTTAACAGGACCTGAGGGAGATCCACGGGACTTGGTGGTGGACATGTCAACCCAACTGTGTGGTCAGCTGGGCAGGAAGCCTACCCTGCTTACTGCCTGTGAATGGAGAGGTACTGGGTGGGTGGCCTCAGCTTGCACACCCAGAAGTGGGTTCAGAGGCAGTCTCCTCCTGGTTGGTGCCTTGGTTGACACGCTCTCTCCTTGGTGCTGTTGGTTCAGTTGCAGGTCGCCCCACCTCCCAACAATGTGGACAGAGCTTGATCTTACTAAAGCTAATGGGCCACCTTGACTCCTGGCCCCCGCCCCTGGGAGCTCCATGCTCTGCTTCTGGAGTAATTTTCCCTTGACTTGTCTGTCTCTTAACCAGCTCTTATGTCAGACCCTCTTAGCACCTGGCAGTCTCCCTCCCCTTAGATTAAACACTTCTTCCCCAACCATCTACCCACTGGCTATAAAAGAGTCAGGAAGGTGAAGGATGGACACCTGACCACCTTGCATTTCTGTATGTAAGTCTGCTGTTAAACTCCTTAACTGACAAGCTAGGCTGGTCTGCCTCGTTCACTGGTCTCTTGGCTCCTTCAGCATTCAGGGAGAGTTTGCATATACAGTCCTCTTCCAAAACATCAACAGACACTACAACCTGTGTTGGGCCATCATCAACCCCAGCGGGCAGAGGGCAGGAGCGAGTGAGAACTCTGGGCACGAGGATAGGCACCAGGCATGCATGCATGGAGGGTTCTTTCTGAGGTGCCAGTGAAGAACCAGGTATGGGCAGCAGGTCCTGGCATGAGACACCTCTCTGCACAAAGTACCATGGGAGACATCGATGGCTGGCACACACTTGTGGAGCCTGGGTGGAATCTACTGTAGAACACTGGTGACAGTGGGAGGGGGTGGCCTACAGGGGTGTGTGTTCTGACAGGTGTCCCTGCCTCCTCAGACATATTGTTCAGTCTTCAAGGAGAGAGGTCTGAGACGTCCTGCTAAGTGGACACACTCATCCAAAAGGTCAGTGCCATGCAAATTAGACCCCAATGGGCCAAGGGGCATGGAGTCCAGACAGTGATGGGAGGTGAGTGTTACATCAGCAGGAAGGGCCATGCTGCCTGGGTTAGGGTTTGGGCAAGCCCAAAGCACTGCAGGTCACTAAAACGCGGAAGTGTGTCTGGGACGGTTCCATCCCTGATGCTTGGCCCCTTCTTCCTCCTCCACCCAACCTCCACAGCGTTAAGAGGAAAGTGATCAGGAGTGGTGTTAGTCTCCCTGGGCGAGAGGGACTAAAGGTCCTATGTGTCCATCCTATACGGCTAGGACCTCGAGCAGGGGGAGAAGTCGGACCGTCACAGATCTACCAGACACAGGTGCCTGGATTCCAATGATGGAATCTTCTCAAGGCTGCTGGTTCTCCAGGAAGATAGTGTCGCCTCGAGGCCAAGTCAGGGGACTGTAGCTGTGGCTCCTGCCACTAGACCCTGATGTGTGCTGTGGAATTCCCTGCTCCAAACATGGGGAGTGGACACTCCTGGGGGGATGCCCATGCAGGGAGCATGTAACTGCCCAGCCCCACAGTCTGTTTCCAGGTTGGGGAGAAAGGAGGTTCTAGGCCTCCCATGTGACATGAGGTAGCTGGGGTAAAGGGTCAGGCCACAGCCAGGAGGAGTAGGTTGTCACCAGCCCAATGTAGTCCCTGCTCTGTGGCTCCAGATAATGTGGCTATCACAGATCTGAGGTGCATCCATGCGGCAAGGCTTCTAACACATGTCTCCAGTGCTCTTGGCTCCCTGGCAGCTACCTGGGGCTGGATCAGAGCTTGGCCCTCTGCCCTCAATACTCAGCTCCTACTGTATGAGGACATTTTGTCTGCTGGAAAATCTTTTGCCCAATGCTGTTCTTCCTGTCCTAGAACTTTTGAGAATGGCCTGGTTGTTTGTGTTACCATTTAACAAACTATAGATGGCCTGGTAAAAGACACTCCCTCCCTTGAGGCTATGAGCCATGGAGGCAAAGAGATCACTGAGGGGGCTCCCACTCAAGTCACCAAGGTTCCACATAGAGCTGCCACAGGGTGCATGGCACTGACCCCACTTCAGGCCACACAGAGGACTACCGAGAAATACTCTCGTCCAGATAGGGGGCACATCGCATGAAGAGGACCCCTGTCCTGGCAGGTCAGTGCCTCCTGAGGCTACTGTGGTATTTCCCACCATGATGCTGCTTTGGGTCAGCCAACAGCCGGCTCTGACCCAATGGCTGTGGGCCACCTGGACCACCGGCCATTTGACCAATGTGTCAGCACAAACCAACTGTCCAGCTGCCCCTTTCACTCACTGGACACAGCTGTCCTCAGAAGGGCACCCCTCTGGGGTCTCAGTGGGTGACAGCTAGGGTGAAAGAGACCGAGGACCGCCCACCGCAATCAGAGCCCAGGATCCTACCCTAACTGCCTGGGTGAGGTGCATCCTCCTTTCTTCTCACAAGTGGCCAGCCTGCACATACTCCTGGGAGCAGCCCAGTCCAAAGGGAGGGCCCAAGGGGTTCAGAGTCACTTCTGGGTGATTTTATGAATGGCCTTGTCCCACCCTGGGAGGGCTTCCATGAGCCCACCCTCCCAGACACCTCACCCTGGTAAAAGTTCTGAGTGAGGAGGGATGGTAGAAGGGCAGTTGAGCTGCAGACATTCTGTGCAGTGTGAGGTGTCTGGGAGGAGACTTCCACAGGCCCCAGGACATGGGCTAGCAGGTCTCCCTCCAGAAGGGAGGCCCTGGGCAGTTCTCTGAAGCCACCACTGGCAACTACCTGCTGTACCCACCAGTTCAGCTGTGCAGCTCTGACTATAGGCACAGTGATGGCCCCTCCTGCATGTCCCCGCACAATGCCCCGGTGTCCTCTTCAGCCCCATCCTCAGCCCTTCGTGGGTGAACAAGCACCCGGGCTAGTTGTGGACAAGTAGGACAAGAAGGATCCATGGCCCTGCAATGATGCCTCCAAACCAGGACTGGACTTGGACATTCACCCCGAACTAGGGATTCAGAGACGGCAGACCCAAAGCTGAAAGAGCTGTCCACACAGCCCGCCTGCACTCTGCCCCTTTCCATAGCAATACACTGGAATCCTAGGTTGAAAGGCTCTGCTGAGTTTTGTGAGTCCTTCTGGTGAATCACTGACCCAGAAGGTGGTTGGGGGACCCCAACCTCAGTGTTCCTGGACTCTCTGCAGCTCCCATTACACTCGGATCAAGCCTAAGCCCTCACAGCAGCCCTCCTTCCCAACTGTTTTGCCTCTGCACCCCCTCCTCCTGGCCTCCTGGCCCCCTCACTGCCCTTTGGGACCTTCACACGTGTGTGCCTGGCTCTATCTTAGTTCTTTGGTTGGCACATCACACATCTGTCTCTCCACTATCGCCCGTCTCTGCCCCAAGAAGGCAGCTCCCTCCGGCAGTTGAACTGCCCTCTGTCCTACCTCCTCTGCCCTGGCCTGGCTCTCCTTGATTCGGGAACAGGCAACTGGGGCAGGAGGCCTGTCCCTCACACCCAACCCCAGACCAGGCGCCACCCTAGGTCTCGGGTGAGCTCAGTTCCTTCTGGGCTGCTCTTCCATGTGGCAGGGCCAGCACCTCTAGGCCATGGGGACCTACCTTTGTACCAGCTGACGACGGGCTTGGGTGTGCCAATTACACGGCAGGCCAGCTTGACTGTTTCACCCAGCTCAGCTGTGCAGTCGGCCAGCTCCTCCTCAAAATCTGGGGGCCCTGGGGACACATATACCATATACCTGGGCCCTCAGTTCACCCCCAGCAGGGCTAGAAGTCCCAAGGCCAAAGGGTGTGGCTGCTACAAACACCAGTCCTTGTGATTCCATACTGGGCCAGAATGGGCTCTGAATCAGAGGCAGGCTGGGTGTTCTTGGGAAGTGGAGGGGAGTATGGAGAGGTTAATGTGTTGAAAAGGAGCCTCTCCCATTCCAGGTGAGAAAGGAGACCCAGGGGTCAGACCTTCACACCTCTAAACCCCTGGGCATTTACTGTGTGCTGGGGGCCCCTGAATAAGACCCAATGTCCCCACTTGGGTCAGAGCCAGTCCAGCACCCCAGTTTAGCACATAGGGAGGCTGAGCTGATGGAGGGGAGAGCTAGCCATCTGTCCTAGGAGGCAGCCACCAGGGAAGGGGCTGGGGCCTGAGTGTCCCCGAGCCAGATGTCCTGGCTGAAAGGTTTGAGCCTGCATCTGGCCTCCACACCAGGACTGGCACTCACGCCAGACAGGCAGGGCCAGACGCTGCTGGATGCCGCTGATCTCCTTCACCCAGGCATTCTTGGTGATGACAGTCCGTGCCTGCAGGAGGAACTTGCGCACCGAGTCCTCCCGCTCATGCCACACCTCGAAGGCGCGGTCATCCCCCTCCACCTGCTCGTTCAGGTCGATGTTGCTCAGCTGTGGGGGGAGGAGGCAGGCTCACTGCCCTGGATGTGGCCAGAGGACCAGCCTAGGCCTCCCTCACACACCCTGCAGCCTCCCCACCCCACCAGGCTGTCCAGTGCCCACAGACCTTCATCATGTTCCGGAACACATAGCTGAAGGTGTCAGTGTGTGAGTCCCTCCTGGGCTTGCAGACTACCAGGTGGTGGGGGAACAGGAAGACGTGGCGGTGGTGGCCCTTCCAGGGCATCCTTGCACCCGGTGCCCCCTCCCACACGATGAAGTGGCCCTGGGAGAGTGGTCAGCCCTTGGTCAACCTGGGGTACAGCCGCCACCCTGCCCTACAACCCACCCCACATGGCGCCCACCCCAGACCTGGCGGATGGGCTCGCCCAGGGCTTCCAGGGTGCCTGGGTAGTTTTCTATGAGCGACACGTGCAGCTGGTTCTCAGCACGCTGAGGGAGGGCAGACACCGCTGCATAGGCCTGCTCCAGCAGCGTGCAGTTCTGCCGGTTCCGAGCCTTGTTGCGGATCAGCTCCTGGAAAGACATCAGGTCAGGGTGTACCACAGGGCAGGACAAGGTAGTGAGGGCAAGGGACAGACCACTTACCTTGAGCAGGGCCTGGTACTGCTGGACCCGCTGGACTGGCTGCTCCAGGAAGTGCTGTAGCGGGGGTGGGGGTGGTTGTGAGGGGTCACCAGCCGACAGCACCTCCTCTGAGTATTTCTGTGGGAACCACAGAGTGGGCTTCAGGTCATCAGGATGAGGCCCAGGGGTAGTTCATGTCACCCAGGTCCCGAGAGCAAGCACATATTCCCTCCTTCCCAGGTGGGCCCTCCCCTCAATGGCTGGTCACTGACAGGTGGGAAAAACTTCAGGGGGCTCTAGCTGCTTTACTCACTAGCCAGGGCCCAGGGACCTGTACAAGCGGGTGGGGGGTCCCTGGCAGGTGGGGAGAGAGGCAGGGCACTGTCAGGGAAAGTGATCTTGGAGATGGGCCCAGCAGCGTCGGGGGAAGGGGCACCTTGTAGAATTCCTGCACAGCTGTGCTGACCACCACCGACTCGGCCTGCACTCGGCCCACCAGGAACTCCAGGTACTTCTCAAAGGCCACCTGGTTCTTAATGAAGCACATGGCCACATCATCATCCGTGTCACAGCTCTGCAGCTCCTGCAGGAAGCTGCCATGGAAGGGACAGTGTCAGGACCCTGCCCACAACCCATGACCCAGCTCCAGCCCTCAGGTTTGAGAGGAAACAGGTTCCTGCCAGGGCCTAGTCCCACTGGCTCCTGGGATTGAAGTGAACAAGGGCTATGGGAACAGGGAACATATGTGCGTGGTGTTTGAGGGTGTGTACATGTGTACAGGCATGCATGTACATGTGTGCAGACATGCAAGGGAGTACACTGTACATTTGGGCATATATGTGTAGGTGCATGAGCACAAGCACACAGATATACATATGTGGATATGCACTGTGTGTTGTGCACGTGTAACACATTCCCAGGCATTTAAAGGCATGTATGTGTATGTGCATGTATGCCCATGCAACCCAAGCATGTGTGTGTTAGGGCACGTGAGCACACACACATGTGTGTGCCTATGTACAAAGGTTGCACTAGGTGGGACTGCTGCAGGCACTCCATGGGTAAGCCAGGTGCACACACCTGTGTTCCCGGGGGTGGCATGCATCCTCGTACAGAGATGTGGTATGCCCACAAGTAAATCAGGTCGCCCCAGTTCTTTCTCTTCTTGGCTCTTGCCCACTCCAAGGCCCAGATCTGTGGGTACGTGTGCATGTGTATGAGAGTGTGAGTGCCTGTGTCGTGCTTGCGTGTGTGCAGTATGTGGCATGTGTCCACATGTGTGTAAATGTGTATGCATGCACACAGGCCTGCCCACCTGCTGTGGAAGTGGCTGAGTTCCTGAATGTTCCGGAAAATGACAGCCTTCTGGCTAGCCACGGCGGCAGGTACATGGGGACAGTGGTCCAGGTACTCCATGTGGTGGCTCTTCAGGAATTGCAGCTTGCCCAGAAAGGCCTGCTCAGAGCTCAGCAGTTCCTGGATGACGGAGCTGGAGGCAGAGTGTGAGGGGACCAGGAATTCAGGGGCTAAACAGGCACCTCCCCTCACATGCAGCCTGGGGCCAGACAGACAGTGGAGGAACCACCCCCATAGGATTGCCCCACCACATGAAGTCACCAGGCAAAGACTGCTCGGTGCCCACACACACACACCATGGCTCCTCACCTCAGCCGCCTCTTGTACTCATCCTCAGACACAGCCTCCCTAGGGAACTCGGGGACCTCAACAGGCCCCCACTCAGGCGATAGCTGGTGAGGAACAGAGAGGGTTGTAGGTGGCCTTGGTGCTGGCCCGGCCCTGTGGGGGTCAGGTTCCCATACTCATCAGGGGACAACAATCCCAGGACAACCACCCCACCCCTGGCAGTCTAGGTACCTTGAGCCGCTTGTCCAGGTAGGCAGGGGACACCCAGCCCTGTCGTGAGGGGCTGGACTTGGTGGGCTTGGTGCGCACAAGCCAGCGTAGAGGGTGGGCTGAGTCCAGCACCTCCACGTACTGACCCTCTCGCAGCGAGATGGTGTCCTGCTCAGCCCCCAGAGGCAGGTAGTCAGCTGTGACCACATAGATATCAAAGATCTGGAGGAAGGGGTGCTGAGTCAGACCCAGAAAGGAGCCAGCAGGGCCTCTCATGGACCCAAGCCACAGGGCCCCTGGTAGTGAATGGGGAGGAAGGAGTCATCCTGAGATTCTGTGAAATTACACAACAGACCCAACTGATTTTTGTGATGGAAACACAAAAGGGGTGCTAGTTAAAGCCACCCAAGGGTGACAAGGGGCAAGCCTTGGGGATGTGGGGGTGTCCTGGGCATGGTAGTATGTCAGCTGTTCAGATGTGCACTTCCAGCCTCCTCCTCCTGGCCCCCTGAGGGCCCAGTTCCCTCCCCACCCTTGCTTTTCCTCGCCAGCTTCATGCCCCCCAGCCCACTGCCCCCGCTGCACCTCTCCCCGGGAGTCTCCATCTTCCGACTCTGAGGACGACTCCTGGACAATAGAGGAGGGGCGGGAGCGGCCATGCCGGGGGGATGCGGATGGTGTCTTGGACTCCTCGTCACTGTCACCTCCAGGCACCTGCAGCTTGGCTAGGGGTGCAGGGCATGTCATACTGGGAAGGGACAGCCCCTGTGTCCCTCCCCATGGTGTGGGTATGGGGGGCCATGACCCTGGATCACCGCCACCACCATCCTCCACCCAAGATCTGGCTCCACGAAGATCCCTCACCCTGAGTGATCTTGGCCGACACCATCTCTGTGATTTGTGAGGTCAGCTTCTGCAGGAACTCCTCCGTGCCCACCTCGGCCAGGGACAAGTGGCCACGAGCCTTGGGTGCCAGGGGCTCTCCTGGTGGTCAGACCCTAGCTCAGCCAGCATGCACTGCAGACAAGCTTGAACACTCCCTGAAGGCCCGCCCTCAGCCCAGGGTTCAGGGAAGATGGGATCACACAGGCTTGGGGTTATGCTGCCAGAAGCAGATAGGCCAACCAGAATAAGGGGCTTTAATGGCTCAGAGGTGTCTGAGCCAAGGTGTGACTGAGGGGCTACAAATGCAAGGATGCAGGGCCCAGGAGAGGGGCATCGGGTGGTCAGGAATGAGGGTGGCTAGCACGGCTGCAGGGCACTAGGCCAGGGCAGCTCAGGGCCAAGCCAGGTACAGGCTAGGATGGGGGAAGTGCATGAAGATGTTGAAGCCCCCAGTGGGGTTTATGCCTCTTCTCTTGGGTGTATCAACTTGGAAGTTTGTCTGGGAAGGGGTTTGGGTGGTTTGGGAAGGGTAGGGGCAGAACCTAAATATCTAGCCCTAGGGTGTGGAGATTGGGGGGGTGCAAGCCTCCGTGACTGGGGTCAGGGGTGAATGAGGGCCACTGAGGGGATAGGTGCAGGTCACCTGAGAAGTGACCCAAAGGTAAGTGATGGGCACACAGCTCTGTCCTCTCTTTTTCTGTGCAGATCAATACTTGTCATAGAAAAGTGAAAAATATACCAAGGTTCCAGAATATACTGTGCAGGTGCCTGGGAAAGGGCTGGACACTTAGTCCACTCTGACTGGGCAACCATCTACCCCTCACCTGGGCACCACACAGCCAGCTGGATGGCTGGACGTGAGAGCTGAGCCAAGGACTGGCCAGGCACGAAGGCAACCAGAGCTCAGAATGGGGCCCAGAGGGGCATCTGAGGAGCCCCAGCCCAAAGCTGGGAGAGTGAGTATTGTAGGCCACATGGGGTCAGGCAGTGTCCTCCACCCCCCACCCCAAATTAGGAATAGGCTGCCTGAGTGCCCCCATACCTTTTTGCCCAGCAAGATCAGTGAAACCTGCAGGTTCCAGCATCTGTTCAGAGATAGCTTGGGTCCTAAAGAGGATGGAGGTGTCCTGAGGGCCTGGGGTAGGCCCACCATCCATACCCTTGGGAGGGAGTCTGAGTGCAGTGGGCCAGGTGCCACGGTTAGGCCCTGGGGAACACTGATTTTATAATGGGGAAACCAAGGCACAGAGAGATTGGGGGCTGGCCCAAGCCACACAGCTTACAAGGGACAGAGCCAGGCTGTGGCCCAGGGTGGGGCTCCCTTTCCAACAGTGTGCTATCCCCTACCCCAGGGCCAGGGCCCCCAAGCCACCCCTATTAGCTCTGGTACAGCCTCTCACTCACCCTTGAAGAAACGTAGAGATGAGAGCCTCCTTCACCCCAGCTGTCTCCCCCGCTTCCTCTGCCTCCTTGGGCACTGTCAGAAGGACAGGTGACTGCCAGGATGATGCCCAGCCCGCTGAGATGATTTTGGTGGGGACCTCTGCCTGGGATGTCTGGGCCACCCCCACCTGGGGGCCTCAGCCCATCTGTTCAGAGCCTCCAAGGAAGGCTGTTCCTGGCATCCCGACTGGGCCTACACCCACCCCACCCCCAGTGTTAGGGGCAGGAATGAGTCCACACTTGATGCTCCACCCCACAGAGGGGCTGAACGGGGCCAGGAAGAGACTGCTTGGGGCCTGTGCTTGGGGAGGGGTCTCGGTGGAGTCTCAGCGAGGGGGTGCAAATCCCCAGTGGTGGCAGCTCCCTCCCACACCCACCAGGACACCCATGCCCACTCACGGCCAGAGACATGTAGGCTGGCAGAGCAGAGGGCCTGGCCAGCAGCATTGGACGCGATGCAGTTGTAGATGCCCTGGTGCTGTCGGCCCACATCCAGGAGGACCAGGCTGTGCTGCTGGGCTGAGCTGGCCACCGTGTAGCCTGGTGTGTCTGGGCCAATCCACAGCACCCGCTCTGCCTCCTCCCGCAGCCAATGCACAGCCGGGGCCGGCAGACCTGGGGCAGGAGTGGACGATGGACAGTCAGCCCCCACTGAGAAAGGGGCTCTAGCAGGGTGCCTCTCACCCTTTCTGGGGGTTCCTGAGATGGGCAGGGGCTGCTCTGAGTCCTCTGGAGGTTCTGAGTGGGGAAGAGGCTGCTCTGAGCCTCCCTGGGGATCCTGGGTGGGGAGGGCAGGGTGCCCTACCTTCAACCTTCACGGAGAAAGTGATGCTGGAGCCCTTCTTCACCTTCTTGGAGGTGAACTTCTCCAGGAATCGGGGCGGTACCAGCTGTTGCTGCACAACTGGGGAGACACAGACGGCTGCTGGTAACCAGTACAGAGCCACAGCCCTATGTGGTGCCTGGGCTCTGCCACTCCCTTCAGGCCCAGACCCCCACCGGCCCGGGTGGCTGTCCCTGCAGCCTGTTCCCAGTGTGCTTCTCTCCCTCCACCTGATAGGTATCCCCACACCATCCTGCTGAACCTCCGGTGCCCCTCTGCGGGCCAGGACTCTGCTCACCTGCTGCCAGCTTCTCTTCTGCATCACTGGGGCCTGAAAGAGGTAGGAAAGTCAGACCTGAAGTGTGATGGTGCCTCCTACCTGGGCCAGGGCCTGCTCAAAGGGTGAGGTCCCAAGGATACCCTCCCGTTCCTGTACCCAGCACCTTCTTGAAACCAGGCAGGGAGCTATCTGCTCCCCCACTGCACTTCTGCACACAGGGTAATGACCGTGGGCCTAATCCCATGCTTGCCATTGGGGCGGGGGGGGGGGTGCGGTAGGGAGAGGTGTAGGCAGACATCAGTCCCAGCAAGCACCCACCTCGGACCAGTAGCCGAGCAGATGAGTAGGCAGCGCCCACGGTGTTGCTGACATAGACCGAGTACTGGCCAGCATCCTCTCCAGTGACTGAGAGGATCTCCAGGGCATGCAGTGTCTTCTTGTCCACCATGCGAATGTGTGTGGAAGCAGCCAGGGGCTGCCCATCTTTGAACCAGTACAGGCGGGGCACTGGGTAGCCTTGGTACCATAGGGAGAGTGGTCAGCACAGGTCCCCTGCCAGTGGGCACTGTGCCCTCCCCCTGGCCTGGAAGGAGAGGATCCCTGGAGACCCCTTGGGCCATGGTCACGGTCTGACCTCTGCTGGGGGGAGGCAACACCTGGCCCTCCAGACTTATTCCCCTCACCTTTCACCTTGAGCTGGAACTTGGCCAGACGTGTGCCAGGGGCCACCTGGAGGTCTTTCAGCTCCTCCACTATCTGGGGCAGCTGTCCCTCCTCTGACGTAGACTCTGCACCCTCCTGCTCATGGCTGACAGAGAATATAGAGGCAGTGTGATGTGGACAGGTGAGGGGCCCTGGTGGGATCAGGCCTAGATGGCTTCCCAGGTCCCCCATTAACATGCTGGACAGAGGCCACATGGCCAGGTGAAGCCCCCAGGTCTGGGATTCTGTCACTATAAGCCAGCACAGCCACCCACACTCCAGGGCTAGGGCTGCCAGACTGCTGGGCACTGCCCATCCCTGAATGGCTCCCACCTGGACAGGTAGCCTTGGGCGCTGAAGTAGGATGAAGTCTCTGTGGCATCTGCAGCAGTGTCGTAGTCAGTGCTGGTCACTAGGGATGAAGTGTGAAGCTGGAGCCAGGCTGTGCCTCCTCTGCCCAGGCACAGCCCCACCCCAGGGGCCACCTGGTTCTCACTGCACAGCTGTCCCTGAGAACCACTTATTCTGAGTCAGAAGTTATGGGGACACAGCTACCCTGTGGCCCCTCCCTGCCCCCCCTGGCTGTTACCAGTCCAAGTTCCAGGCCTATAACTAAGTACATGACCCAACAAACTGCAAACATGGGGTGACTCTGGGCTTCATAAATGGCAGGCAGGGACAGTGGCTGCCTCTTCCCATTCTGTTGCACTAGAGGACAGAGTCTGCTGTATCTGGGCCTCAGCTGGGGCTTCCACTCATAGCCACAATGGTGCCTCAGGGACTGGATGTTTGTGTGCCCCACCCCCAATTCACTGGGAGGTGGGATCTTTGGGAGGTGACTAGGTCATGAGGGTGGGGCCATTAGAAATGGGGTCAGTGCCCTATGAAAGAGATCCCACAGCTCTCCTCACATCATGTGAGGACACAGCGAGGAGGGGCCACCCACCACTCAGAACTCAGCTGGCACTCTGATCTTGGACTTCCAGCCTCTAACACTGAGAGACACTCATGTACTCCTGTTGTTCAGAAGCCACCCAGTCTGCAGCACTAAGTTAGAGCAGCATGAATTAAGACACCCTCCCAGCTGAAAGAATCCAAACAAATAAACAAAGTACATGAAACAATGGCAATGATGTTATGATTCATTGTAAGTAATATCTATTTGGTGTTGTACTGTTCCTGGCACAGAGCTCCTAAAACTCTTGGAGTTTCCTTCACATTCATAACAAGCCCCTGTCAACCACACCTGAGTTTATGTGAATGAGGAGATTTTGTTACGCCACTAAGGATGGGAACTGGTTGCCAGGGGAACCAACCCTGTGACCAGGGGGTCAGAAGCTTCAGTCTCTGGAGGGAGGGTAGAGGGGCTGGAGGTTGACTCAATCATGCCTGTGTAATGAAGACTCTGTGAAAACCCGAAGGGCTACAGTTTGGAGAGCTTCCAGGTCAGTGTATACAAGGAGATAAAGGGAGAGTGGAAGGTTCAGAGAGCAAAGAAGTCCCTGGCCCCTTCTCCATGCTTGGCCCTACACACCTCTTCCATCTGACTATTCCTGAGCTATGTCCTTTAGAATAAGCCAGCAACCTAGTGAGTAAATGTTTGAGTTCTGTGAGCCACTCTAGCAAATTACTGAAACCTGAGGAGGTGGCTGATCAGTCACAAGCACAGGGGACAACCTGGGCTTACCATTGGTATCTGAAAGCAGGGTACTCTTGTGGGACTGAGCCCTTCACCTGTGGGGCCTGATGCCATCTCCGGGTAGGTAATGTCAGAACAGGGTTAAATTGTAGGTCAACCAGCTGGTGTTGGAGAATTGCTTGTCATGGGGAAAACCAGAACTGGGCACAGAACCATCAGAATGGTTTTCAAGTCACTCAACATTAAGCAAGTAAGGACATTGATCCCTTACAGAGAGCAAACAAAGGTGAGCCCTGTGATTGCCCCAGCTTCCTGCCTCCAGTTTCCAGGCCTCAGAGAGGAAACTGAGGCAGAGCCAGGTTGAGGGGACAGAAGGTAGTCAGAGTCCACAGTACAGAAAACCAGAGCTGAGGAAGCGGCACAGAGCCCCTCCCTCGAGAGGTCATCAGCACGCACCCTTGGGAGGGAAGAGCCCCCTGAGAGGCTGGGGGTCAGTGCAGGAGGGGCACAGGGCCACAGAAAGACTGGAAGGAGCTCCTGACTACTCTCTCCCCAGGACAGGAACAACTTCTTCTAAGGAAGTCCCTGTTTCCAGAGCCCAGCTCAAGGAGACCCACAGGAATGCACCGCATCGGCTCCCAGCAGAGCGAGACTCACGGTGTCAGGCACCCCGTCACAAGCCACCAGACACACAAGGAGGTAGGAAAACAAGACCTACCACATGGAGAATAATCAATCAGAACTGATGTGATGTTGTAACTGGCAGAGAAGGACATTAATGTGGGTATCACACGGTATTCTGTGTGCTCAAAAAATTAAGTAGAGATATAGAACATGGAGAGAAGACTCAAGTAGAAGTTCTGGAGATAAAAAATACAGTAGATGAGACTAATAGCAGGTTAGATACTAAGAAGAAAAGAACAATGCAATAAAAAAAGCCAAATGAAATGCACAGAGAAAAAAGTTTTAAAATTAAAAGTATCAGTGAGCTTGTACTATAGCTTCACGTGGCTTGATATATGTATAACTGAAGTCACCAAACAAAAGGAAAAGGAAAAACATTTGAAGAAATAATGGCAAAAACACCCCAAACTTACTGAAAACTATAAACCCTAAATTCCAAGAAACTTAATGAACATAAAGAACACCAAAGTATACCAAAGTATATCATAATCAAATTACTCAAATCCAAGGATACAAAGAAAATCTTTGAAAGTGTCCAGGGACCATTTTTGCAGAAATTGACAAATTGATCCTAAAATTCATAAAGAAAAATGCAAGAGATCCAGGTTGTTCAAAACAATCTTGAAAAAGAATAAACTTGGAAGACTAACATTTCTGTATTTCAAAACTTACTGCATAGCTACAGTGTGGCAACACCATAACAACAGATGTTCACACCAGTGGGATGGAAGTGAGAGTCAGAAAGAAACCCACACATTCTGTGAGAACAAATTTGAAACAAGAGTAACAAGAGTTCTGAGATAATTTTATGGCAAAAAATTGTCTTTTCAACATGCTGCTGGGACAACTGGATTTCCACATGAAAAAAAAAAAAACAAAAAAAAACCCCGAAGCTGGGCCCTTACCTCACACCATATACAAAATAAACTCAAAACAGACCACAGGCCTAACTGTAAGAACTAAAAGTATAAAACTCTTAGAAGAAACCATAGGTGTAAATCTTCATGACCTTGGATTAGGCAATGGATTCTTAGATATGACAACCAAAGTGCAAGCAACCAAAGAAAAAGTAGATAAACTAGACTTTATCAAAATTAAAAAGTCATGCATCAAAGGACACCATTAAGAAAGTGGAGAGACAACCCACATAATGGGAGAAATTATTAAAAAATCATACATCTGATCAAAGTTTAGTACCCAGAATATAAAAAGAACTCTTACAAGTCAAAATTAAAAGGAACAAATATCCCAATTTAAAAATGGCAAAAGATTTTAATAGAAACTTACCCAAAGAAAACGTACCAATGGCCAATAAGCACATGAAACAACACCTAAAGTCATTATCACTAGAAAATGCAATAAAAATCACAGTGAGACACCACCTCACACCCCTTAGGGTGGCTGTTACTTAGAAAATCAACATAACAAGTGCTGGCCAGGATGTGGGGAAACTGAGCCCCCTACATCGCTGCTGCTCGGAGTGTGAAATGGTGCAGCTGCTGTGGAAAACCAGTTTGAAGGTTCCTCTAAAGGTCAATGATGCCGTCACCATGTTACCCAGGAATTCCACTCCTAGCTACAAACCCAAGAGAACTGAAACCCATGTGCACACAAAAACTTGAACATGACTGTTCATAGAAGCATTATTCATAACAGCCAAAAAGCACTGAGGGATAATGTCATGCAATGATTGGATAAGAAGTTCATGTGCAGTGGAATATTTTTCAGCTTTATATAAAAGGGAATGAAGTACTGATATATGTTACCATATGGATAGATTTAGAAACATGCTCAGTGGAAGAAGCCAGGCTCAAAAGGCCATATGTTGTATGATTCTACTACGTAAGATGTCCAGAATAAGCAAATCCGCAGAGACAGAAGTGCATTAGCGGTTTCCAGTGGCTGGGGGGTCGGGTGGGGTGGGGTGGAGTGTGATGGCCGATGGATGCGTGGTTTCACTGGGGATGATGAAAATGTTCTGGAACTAGTTGTCAGTGATGGTTGCACAACCTTATGAATATACTAAAAACCAATGTGTTATACATTTTTCTATAGCAATTGCACTTTATTTTGGGGTGGGGGAGAGTCCTGTGGAAACCACATGAGCGTGGTGCTTTTGGGGCAGGCAGGAACTCCTTGACATTTCTGTGGTAACTGGACTGTTTAGACTTTCTCTCTCACCTGGGGTGAATTTTGGGTGCCCGAGGATTCTGAGCCAGAACCAGCTTCCTGGGTGTCAGATAAGCGCATCCCCATGGGGCCCCACACCCAGCGGGGAGCCTTCAACAAGGTGGGCAAGCACTCTGCATCTGCCTGCTGTCTGGGAATTCTTTATATATTTTTAAATGTTGAATTTTATGGTGTGCAACCATCTAAAGGAGTTCAAATCCCAATAGAAAAGACAAGCTATACAGAGAAACAACAAATAATGCCATATTTCTCACTAGAAGCAATGCAAGTTAGCAGACAATGGAGCTACATCTTTAAAGTATGGACAGAAAAAGCTGTCCTAGCAAAAATATCTTTCAAAACAAAATAAAAATAAGAACATTTTTTCAGACATACAAAAGTTGAGAGACTTCCAGCATACACAGTCTACAAAAAATGTTAGAAGATGCTCTTCGGGCAGGAAGAAAGGGACACTGGGTGGAAAGAGCTAGGGAACAGAAGTGTCGTGCATGACACCTGTGTGTACTCCCATTCATTTAAGATAGTGGACTTGTTATATACCCCATATACCCTTCACCCAGTTTCTGGCAAGGTTAACTTTTTTCTGAACTATATAAATGGTGACATTGATCCACCTGCCAACCTGGTTCAGATTTTATAAGGCTCACATGAACTCCATTGAGTGTGCATGTATTCATGCAATAACATGCAGTTTTATGACACCTGTTGCATGTGTTAATAACATGTTCCTTTACCTTGCTGAGTAGCACTCCATAGGACACAGTTAACCATTCACCCCCTGAAGGACATGTGCATCATTACTAGTTTTTGGCTATTAGGAGTAAAGCTACTATGAGCATTTGGGTAAAGGTTGCATTATGAATTTGAGTTTTCATTTCTTGAATAAACGCCCAATAAAATAATTGTTGGGCCACATAGTAAGTACATGATTAGTTTTGTAAAAACAGACACACCGAGTTCTGGAGTAGTTGCACTAGTTTCCCCTCCCACCAGCAGTCCATGGGGGCATCCCCTGGCTCCACCCCTGCAATGCAGGGCTGGCAGCACCATTTTTATGTTAGCAACCCAGGACCGTGCAGAGGCACCCTGCTGGGCCCTGATTTGCATTTTCCTGTCAGATACCTTCCACACACTTATTTGCCATCTCTATGTCCTTTCCCATGAAATGTCTGCACACACTCCTGTCTTAATTGGATTTTTATACATTTTTTACTCTTTAATATTGAGCATTCTTTATATGGCTTAGATAAAGTCCTTTATAAGATGTATGGTTTGCAGATATTCTCTCCCAGCCTGCAGCATTTCATTCTGCACACCAGTCTTTCTCAGAGCAGAAGTTTTTTAACTCTGATGACATCCATTTTATGATTTTTTTCTTTTATAGGTCAAGTATACAATGGCTTTTCCTAGTCCTAGGTATTGAAGGTTTTCTTCTATTGTTTTTCTAAAATTTTATATTTTACATTTAGGTACAAAATCCATTTGAGTTAACTTTCATATAAAGTCTAGGTTCTTTTTTTTTCCTTATAAATGTCCAAATTACTCCAGCATCATCTGTGGAAATTCTATCCTTCCTCTACTTAATTGCTTTGCACTTTTGTCAAAAATCAGTCAGACACATTTGTATGGATTATCACATGGTCTTTTCTGTGACCATCCTCCATCCTGAAGCTGTCTAGGGGCCTGCCAGGAGCCACCATTTAGTGATTTATCAGCTAAGAATTTCAAGAGACTTAGGAGCTATGAGCCAGGAACCAGAGATGGGACCTGATATGTATTCCTATTGACCACAGTGCCATTGATCACCCACCACACCCCTGGACACCTCCAAAACTTCCTGGGCCCCTCCTCAGCCCTGACACTTCTCAAGAAGTTAAGGTCCCCAACCCCACCCCAGGGGGCTCCCAGAGAGCTCTCCACCAGCCGCAAGACCCTGAAGCCCCAAATCTGGACCATCATCCAATCCCACACTGCCCCTCCCAGACAGGAGCCCCCAAGCCACCCACCCTGGGTCAGCAAACCAACGACCACACTCACAGTCCACTCGGAGCTCGGCCTTGGTGGAGGACACACCCACGCTGTTCTCAGCCAGGCAGCGGTAGACACCCATGTCTGCAGGTACCACAGCTGTAATGATAAGCTGGTGGCCACCCTGCTGGTCATCACTGATCATGTAGTGGTCGTCTTCCTCCAGCACCCTCCCATCCTTGAACCAGCGCACGCTGGGTACTGGTTGGCCTGTCACCACACAGTCGAAGCTCACAGGGTACCCGTCCAGCACCTCCTGGTTCTGCAGCTCAGTCAGGAACACTGGGGCTGGGAGGGGTGGGTGGGGCATGCACATTAGCACCAGCCCTGGCCCCCTGATCACCTCAGCTGTGGCACATCCACACATGTGACGCAACAGCCCCCATTCTACTGAGAGCACTCAGAGACCAGATGGCCAAACAGTTCTTCCCTCCTCCCCATTCTCCCAAGCCACCCTGTGGCCAGAGGGACAGCACAGGGATGGGGGAGGAGGGGACATGGAGGGAGGACCACAGCAGTACAGCTGGGAGTCCAGGGTTTGAGGCCTCATGCTCAGAACTGGAGGGAGAAAATTTCAAGACACAACACTGTAGATTAACAGCACCTCTTCTATCATTTCTAGGGACATATAAGTAAACAGTGGAGTGTCTTTTTAATTAATTTTATTTGCTGGAGTGGGAAATGGGGTGTGGGCCAGACCACATGGAAGCCCACCTTTTATATAGATTGTATCTCAAACCCTTGTGGAGAAAGAAAACAGAAGCAGGCATTCCTTCAGCCAGTTCACAGATGAGAACACTGAAGCTCTGACAGGCTAGCTAGTAGCAGGCAGAGCTGTGGTGCAGATAGAGCTTTAACCACATCAGATCCAGGGTTCTTCTAAGCTAAGTGGGTGGCATCTGCCAGGGGCCAGAGCCTTGACCTCTCAGCTGACTCTGATCACCCACCAGCCTTGCCCCACCTCTCCTGCCCTACCCCAGGCAGCTTACAGACTCACCAGACTCTGTGGTGCACAAGCTGGGCACTGGCTCCAAAGGCGCCATGGGGACGAGGGACACCTTGGCAATGCGTATTTCCACTCCCTGGTGCCCCTTCTCTGACAGGCTGATGTCCACCCCAATGCCCAGCATTCGGAACATCTCCTGGAAGTGGGTAGCCGCCCGGCGGGCCTCAGCCAATGTCTCAAAGCGGATGCAGACTGAGTGTTCATCTTCACGGTATGTCTGCCAGTCCCCAGGTTGCTCGGGCTCTGCTGAGCCCTCATCTGCACTCAAGAAGATCTCCTCGTCTGAAACCTCCGCCGGGCCTTTGGTGCAGAAGAGGTGGTGCAGACGCCGGGCTGCCCGGCGGAAGGCATCATCCAGCTCACTGCCAGAGGAGCTCTCAGTCTCACTCTCCATCCTGCTGATGACCACACGGGCGCTGTGGACTGCACAGCCAAACTTGCTGCTCACCTGGCAGGTATAGCAGCCAGCATCGGCTTGGCCCACACCAGTGACCAGCAGAGAGCAGGTGCCATCCCCTAACTGGTCAATGTGGTGGTGTCGGCCATCAGTCAGCTCTACGCCATCCTTCAGCCAGTGAGCCTGCACATCTGCCTTGCTGGACACTACACACTCCAGATGCAAGACATCCCCCACCTGAACTTCAGTGTCCCCAAAAGTGCTACAGAATACAGGCCCCTCCTGTTGCCTCATCTCCTTCCGCACCCTGTAGCCCTTGAAGGCAGCCTGGATCTTCACGGCTGCCTTGTCCAGGGATGGGTCACCGAGGTCCTCACCACTCCACTCTCCTGGTGGCAGGCACACTGTGGCCGGCTGCTTTGGCTGCTTCTGCAGCTTTCCAGAGGGGGCTGCTGGGGCCCTGACCTGTGTGTACAAGTCAGGTTAGGAAATCAAGGCCTGGGTCAGGGCAAGGATGGGCAGGGGCAGGCTGGAGGCAGAACCTGATCTGCACCCCGGCTCCAGCAGGCCACTCTGCCTCTGCCTACTGGTCACTATGCTACCTTCAGAGGCCAGATACCTGAGGGTGCCTATTGTCACATGGATCAAGCGCACCCTCACTGACATCACTTCACACAATCACCGACAGACCACAGGGTTGCGAGGAACACTACAGAGAGGCCAGCTCCAGCTCCTCAGGAAAAAGTTTTAACAGCTGGATGAATTGGATGGGTGGATGGACAGATGGTGAATGGATGAATGGGTAGATGGGCAGATCAGCGAATGGGTAGATAATAGATATGTGGATAAATGCTTGATGGTAGGATGGATGGATAAATGGTTAAGTGGATGGCAGATGGATGGATAAATAGATGGTGAAAGATGGTGGATGGATAAATGAGTGGTGATAGACTAAGGAACGTGAGGGAGTGGGTGGATGGTGGATGGTAGATGGGTGGGTAGATGGTTGAATGTGTGAAACAGATGAAAATGAACATGGATGGATGTGTTGGTGGGTGGTGGATGCACAAATGGATATGTAGATGGCAAATGGATGGATAAATGGTTGGTGATGGACAGATGGACAAAGGCTGGCTGGCTAGATGGGTTAGTGGGTGGTGGACCAGTGGATGGATGGTGGACAGTGACCTGGTGGCTAAGACCTGAGACACCCAGGCCTCCCTTGCAGACCAGGCTGGAGGCTCACCTTGCTGGCCAGGGGAGAGGCACCAGGCTTCCCAGCCTTCTTGAGATAGGTGACCAGGGAAGGAGTGCCCGCCCGGGACTCATCGTCAGAGCTGGTATGTGACAGGTCAGCCTCGCCTGTGCGTGCTAGCTCATCAGCTGTGGAGTAATCCTCCGAGAGGTCAGGGGCCACATCCTCTGCCTCCTGCTGCTGGCACAGCAGGCGCCCATCTTCCTCTGGCAGCTCGCTGATGGAGTCCAGTGTGGGCTCTCGGCTCATGCGGCGCTTCCGGGCCAGGGCCTCCCACAACAGGTGCAGGTCACCCTCCTGGGCTGCCTCAGGGGGCAGGCTGGGCTGTGCAGGGGCCTCATCCCCAGATCCTGGGGTCAGCACCACTGTGGGCAGCAGGGGACTGGTCAGCCAGGTGGGAACGCAGCCATGACCCCAGCCCTCCTGGGCTGCCAACGGTGTCCCCTCTGGAGGCACCTGCTACCTGCCTGGCCCCAGAGAGCTCTGAGGGCACAGTTTCCCAAGGTTTCAGAAGCTCCAAATTGCTGTCTCTGAGCCTCAGTTTCCCCTGGTCAGGCCTGGCGGGGGGTGGGGTGGAACTTGGAGGCCATGGGAAGGTTTGGAGGGCAGAGGGACTCAGAGGACAGGAGCCTGAGGACTGAAGGGACCAGCAGTGCGCACCAAGGGCTATGTGCCCAGGACCTGGGTCAGGGAAGGGGTTCAGCCTAAAATGTCAGAGATACAGGTTCTGACGTGAGGCTGAGCCATGCAGGGTCTGGGCCTCTCCCCAGCAAGCTTCAGTCTGCTTTGGTGTGAGGTGGGCGTCTCAAGTAGACCCCCTACTATGAAAGTCACCCCTATCCCCACACTCCAGGGTCCCCCCACTCTCCCACCCCCCAACTCTGGGCCCTGAAGACACACCCTGGAAGGTGATGGCAGTGGCAGAGATCGGGTCTCTGGCCAGGCGGCAGCAGTACTCTCCCTGGTCCTCCACTGAGAAGCCGTGGACCACCAGTGTCTGCCGCCGACCGTGGGAGATGGCCTGGAAGCGCCCACCAAGCTGGATGTGCTCCATCTCCTTCAGCCAGACAACCTCACCGGCCTCTGCCACCTCGCACTCCAGACGCAAGTCCTCGCCCGCTACCACCTGCTGGCTCTTGGGAGCAGGAGGCGCAGGTGCAGGTTCCAGGGCCTCTGCAGCGGATGAGCATGTCAGCAAGGACTTGCCCTGCCCCACCCCGCCTCCCGCACGGGAAGGCCTGAGAGCTTCAGGCTGGACCCCTATCTTCACCAGCTGGGACCAAGTTAGCAGCTCACCTAGCCTCACCATCTGGGGAAGGTGCACGGGCTCTCCAGCTCCGGCAGGGCCCACTGCTGCCACACGGAAGCGATAGGTCTCCCCAGGGGCCAGGCCATCCACAATGCACTCTGGCCCGGGCACCAGCTTGTGGCACAGCCGCCACTCGCCTGTGGCAGATGCCTTCATCTCTACCTGGTAACCGCAGAGGCCTCCACCGCCATCACTGGTGGGTGCTGCCCAGGACAGTGTCACGGAGTGGTCACTGCGCCCTACCACCTCAGCATCCTCTGGGGGATCAGGGAGGCCTGCATGGTGGGGTGAAGGGGGCAGTCAATGCAGCACCCTGCCTCTGCCCACCTGGGGCACTGGTGCTCGTGCCCTGGTGTCTAATCCTGGGGCGAAGTGAGGTTGTGGGCAGACCACCCCCAGGCCTGTGAGCAGCAGTGTCAGGCACCTGCCTCAGGGAGTGTGTTTCAGTCACAAAAAGACTGTGTATGCAGCCCACCTTGGGTGGTGGGACACAGAGAGCCCCCAGCAGCTTCTGGGACTGGAAACTACCCACCCTACCCACCCACCAGCATGTCCAGCACCCAAGGCAGGCGAACTACCCACCCAGCACGGTAAGCCGCGCAGAGACTACAGCGTCGCGGGCAGCGAAGGTGACCTCGCCAGCGTGGTGCAGCTGGGCGTGGTGCAGCAGCAGTGTGTGGTGGCTACCATCTGCAGTAACTGTCCAGTCGGCATCATCAAGTTGCACTGCCACCCCGTTGATGTACCAGGTTGCCTCGCCCACCAGCACCACCTCGCTGAGTGTGCAGCTAAAGTGGGCCTGGCTTCCCGCCTGCACAGTCATGTCCTTAGGGGGCTCCAGGACCTCCAAGCGCCAGCCTGTGGGGCAAGGGCCAGCGCATGAGCTTGGGTCCAGGAACCATGTCCAGAGGTTCAGAGACCCCCAAGCCACCCTTACCACCCCCATCCTTCCTCTACCTCTTAACAAAGGCTGTAATTCTGACCCTTGAATGGAGGTTCAGAATCAATATCACAGCCCTTCCTGTTCTGCCCGCTCCCTCCCCAACACAGTGCAATGTCAGGGGGAAGGGGTCTGAGAGACCCTGCCCCACCCTCACCCTGCAGCCCAGACTCTCCTTGCAGACCCACCCAACCTCCAGCAGCAGGGCTGACAGAGACCCACAGCCACACCCCTATCCCTTTGGTCCCAACCTGATCCCCAGAGCCTTGCAACAATGTTTGGTGGAAAGGGTCTGAGAGACTTACACTCCGCCTGCCTGTAAGCCTAGCTCAACTCCTGCACCTCAAAATGGATATCCAGTGGGAGGGTTCTCAGAGACCCCCCTGCCCATACCCTCACCTCTGACGGTGAGGAATGCGGAGGTCACCACGTCTCCTGCCAGGAAGGTCACCCGGCAGCTATCCTGAGGCCGCAGGTTTTTCAGCAGGAGCAGGTGCCGCAAGCCGTTCTCGAAGTAGACCACCTCGGCGTTCTCAGAGCTGTGCACTGGCTCATCGTCCAGCAGCCAGGAGTGGGTGGCCACCTCTGGCCGGGAAAGCTGGCACTCGAACAGGGCTTCACCTCCCTCAAGCGCCTCAACGTTCTCCAGGCCTCGCACCACTGTGTTCTTGGCTGGGGGACAGAAGGGGTGGCTTAGGGCCTGGGAGCCTCTACCACTCAGGTTCCCCCATGGCCAAGGGGGGGCCCCCCAAGACATAGGTTCAAGCAGTGGGCCACCAGGAGGGGGACAGTGGTATGTACACTGAGTTACCATGTATATCCTCTAAAGGTCCTGATCACCAAGCTTGTGGTCAGAAAGGGGTCCTCCCTATCTCACAGGTGAGAAGTCTCACAGGTGTTCCTAAAACTCACCAGAGCCACAGCAGGGCTCATCACTAGCCTAAGGCTTCCACCCCTTGCCCTGGCTGCAGGTGGGGCTCTGGATCAGGCCCTCTGTCTCCCAGCCAACTCTATCAGACCTTCTGGGTTGCTCCCTCACTTCCTGGAACCAGAGACACTTCTGCCCACATTTCCCAACCCTCTCTGGTTCTCTCCTACAAAGTCTGTGAGTCTGTAATAAATGGCTACATGTTTTTCATGGAAGCCAGGACCTCAGTGCTTGGCTGTGCTGGCTTGCCACCTCCTAGTGCCATTCCCAGGACAGGTGTCAAGCCAAGAAGAGTGACATAAGGAGACACTATAATGGGAAGGAAGGATGGATGCATGGCAGACAGCAGGGAGTCAGGCTGGTGGGGTAAAGGATGCAAGGGGCCAGGTGGGGAGGTCAGGCAGGAGAGGAACATCAGGTGACACAGGACAGACCTGGGTGCTAGGGAGTGTCTGGTCTAGACCCACACAACAGCAAGGAACCTGTGCAGTCACTGAGCCAGAGGCCCGGACCCACAACCCCAATACTGTCTGGGTACATGGCCTGGATGGAAGCCACATGCTGCCCTGGTACTCCTGCCAGCTTGTTTGCAGCCCAGGCCCACACCTGCAGGCAAGGTGGCTGCTATGAACAGCAGCCCAGTGGGTGAAGGGGAGACTGTCTCAGAGCAGATGACATGTGGACCATCTGCATCCCTCTACCAGACTGCCCTCCTGCCCTGAGCTGCTCACACCACAGACCAGACTCACTGTGGCCCAGCCCCTTCCTTCCACACAACAGAACTGATGGGGACATAAGAGTCTGGCTGCAGTCTGTCTGATGCATGGCCAGGCTCCAGCTGACCCCTGCAGGGGCAGGGAGTGGGGGATGCTCCGCTGCAGGAGCTCACCTTATCTCCTGAGTGTGCCACTGCAGCTTTTTTGTATAAAATCCAGGATTTTAAGTAAGCCCCAAGCGCCTGCTGGCCCCATTTCCTTCTAGTGCCCCCTTTTCCACTGGGTCCTGCCTGTGGCTGAAGGCTCTGCCCAGATGTCCATGAGACCCAGCCTTCCTGCAACTGCCACCCGCTCTAGTCCTGGGACATGCTGCAGCCCCTCCCCAGAGCTCCTGTCACACTTTTCAGCAGGGTTGTCAAGGGGCCACCATGCAGGGAGAGGTTTCTGCTCATTCCCTGATGTGCTCACAAGCACCAAAAAGAGGTTTACAAAACTCAGTTGTTGAACTAGTGAGTGAATGGGGTGGGAGGTTACCTCAGGTGACCAGTCATGGATGCTGGTCTCACCTGCTCACACATGCTTTCCACCACAAATGGCCCCCTGACAGTTCTCTCCACCCTCCAGCTCACTCACCACCAGGACTGGTTCAGGTTTTCTGAACAAGAAGGTGGCCCCAGCCTTCCATAGAGTGGGCAGCCCACCGCCTCCTGATCCCCCAACTGTGTATCCTCTCAGGGACATGGGGCTTGGTATACCCTCTGAGTGACCAGCCTAGGAAGGGGCAGAGCTGGGATCTGAACACAGTGTTTGGGGACACAGCCCACTTAGAGCCCTGCTGAGGGCCCTGTGGCTCAAGCCTGCTCACTCACCTGCCCAGACGCTGTTTCCCTGACCACCTCTACCCCCTCAGTGTTCTGGATGCAGATTCTTTAGGTTCAGCCTCTGCCCAGGATCTGTCCAGTCACCCTGTCTTATCAGGCTGCTTGGGGAGGGGTGCAGGTTTGGGTGGGTGGGCTCGGGGCCCAGCCAGCTCCAGCAGGATCCACCTGCTTGGATCCTCTCTTTCTAGTACTGTCACGGTCATGCAGTGCTAGCTGTCATTGCCTGATGTTTACTCCATTGCATCTTGGCTCAAACCATGCCTGGGGCTGCCTGCTGAGGGGCCTCACCTTGCACTTGCAGCAGGGCCACCACACGGGTGCCTGCAGCCTCACAAGAATAGATGCCACTGTCGCAGGGCAAGGCCGGCCTGAAGGACAGCCTGGCCACGGTCCAGTCCTGCTCTAGGATGACACGGCGCCCGTCGGCGCATACCTCCTGCTCGTCCTTCTTCCATGTGGCCAGCACCGGCCGCGAGTACTGGCAAAGGAGCTCGGCCGCGCCGCCCTCCTCCACCGCCAGGTCCTGCATGGCACTGACCACCTCCACCGTGGGATCTGTCGGCCGACACGCCGGGCACGTGTCAGCCTAAGCAGTGTGGCCAGAGCCCACCCATCCTATGCAGTCAGTGGCAGCGGTTCATTGGCAAGCAAGCGAGGGCCTCCGGCAGGAAAAGAATTGGCCATGGCAGCCCAGGACCTTTCATACAGGACAAGTCTTGCCCCCACACACCCCAATTGTGGCAGATGGCCTCTGTCCACTGGGCCTCTCCTGGACTCTCTAACCCCAAGTCCTGGGGAGCACACTACCCCAGCAGGGACACAACACTCCCTCCCAAAAGCCCAGGGGCTCCCTCAGTGTCCACACCCTCTGCTGGGCACACATCAGCCCCAGCCTAGCTTATCCCTTTCCAAGAACCTCTCCAGAGGGCTCCATCCAATCTCCACCTGGCAAAGTCATGCTCAACAAATAGCCTGCCCTTTGAACCTGGAGGGCATGTCCATTTATTCTGCAATAGTGCAGAGGGCCTGTCAGGAAGAATGCCAGGCAGAGCCATACCAAGTGACCCTCCCAGGAGCACATGACATACCCACTTGGAGTGCTCTGAGGAGACCCTGGCAACCTAATGCCCTCCCCAATGACTCACTCTTTACCAAAGGAGCACAAGACCCCAACCCAAACCATGGCAGTGGCAGCAGCCACAAGCAGGGACAGGGCAGGCGGTCCGGGCAGGAAGGCTGCCCTTACCTCTAGGCTGCCCTCTGGGTGTGTACCTGACTTACATGCAGCCACAGAGTGGCAGCCAGGCAGCAGGAACACTCAGGGGCCCCTGAACAGGTGGTCATGAAGTTGGCCTCTAGCTTCATGCTCTGAGCCAGGCCTTCTTTCTCACCCAGAAAGCAAGATGGCAACCTGCCTGAACACCCACACATGGCACATGTGGGCAATGCCAGTCCCCAACCCCCTGCCCCAGGAACCTGCAGGAAGCAAGCAGGGACAGCAGGGGCAGAAGCATCAGCGCGGGCAGGGTTCCATCGGCTGGTACCTTTGACCAATAACTTGGCCGTAGAGACCAGGGACCCTGCGTGGTAGGTGATGGTGCCTGAGTCAGCAACCCCCAGGCCTGACAGCATGAGGGAATGGAAGGTCCCATCACGCTCGCAGATGGTGCTCTGGGGGCCGTCCTGCAGTAGGGTCCCATCCAGCCACCAGTGGGCCTTAGGCCCACCTGCATGGGACACCTCGCAGGAGAATGTGGCCACCTCCCCCGCAAACACGTCCACGTTCTGCAAGCCACGTACCAGGTATGGTGCTGCCTCTGCACAAGAGGGCAACAGGAGGGCAGGCTGGGGTGCCCTGGGCCCACAGGGTCATGTGGGGGTCCACCATTTGGGGGATCTCTGGGGCTAGGTCTAGAGATCCACCTGGCCAGCTATCCCACCCTGCTCACAAAATAATACACTCAGACCACCCACAGAAATCAGGCTCAGTATCCCCTGCAACCATGCCCCTCTCTGGAATATACCCAGTTTCACAAAAGTATACAGAAGACATGTATCCATGGTCTCTTAAACAGGTAGAATGAACCAGCCCCAAGCCCCGTGGCTTCAATCTTTGTGGGGTGGGAGGCAAGTCTATGGGCCACCACTCTGAGCAGGTGGGGTCTGCCTCAGGGAGTAAGCCCTCCCTCCCTGAAGGTGTGGAAGCAGATGCTCCTATTCCCAGAAGACCATTTATCTCAATGTCTCCTTTGGTGCCTCTGGTCCTAAGATTCCAGTGCCCTAATGCCTGTGGCAACTGCTTCCTACCCCGTCACACAGCAGGCCTGAACCAGGGGCTTCCCAGATGCAGCTGCTGTGCTCCCATGCCTGCCCCAGCCAGGCCCTCCTCAGATGCCCCCCAAGCCCTTCTTGGGCATGCACTACCAAAACCCTAGCACCAGCCCTCCACCTGCCCCAACCCTCTCCCAAGAGTGCACATCTGACAGTCTCTGCCTGCTTCTCCAGTTCCCAAGATGGCTCATATGCCACCTACAAGGACACCCATTAGCACAAACCCATGTCCATAGTCCTCCCCCAAGGGCATGGCAGGATGTCTGTATGCAGGCCAGTTGGCACAGGATATCTGACAGGGACCAAGGCACAGCCCTAAGCAAGGCCCATAAGGGCCAACCCAGCTCCATGTCCCCCTCAGAGATACTTACCCTAATGAACACACAAAACCTTTCCTAGTCCAGCCCAATCAGGACACCTAGGACACTGTCCCTCTCCCACCACTCAACTTGAGGCTTTTCCCAGACCCAGAGGCCACAGAGCTGGCTGTGTCTGTCCACCACTGAAGACCCAGGATGTGTTTTGTCTCCAATTTCCAATTATCCCTGTGGACTGGGGACTCCCTGATGTCAGAGATGTACCTGGCTCCTCTCCAGGTCTGAGACTTAGACAAAAGTAGAGGCTTAAGGGATTTGTTCAATGGATGGTAGCTGGTGAATGGATGGGTAGATGGATGAATGTATAGGTAAACAGATTAATGGTTGGGTAAATGGGTGACAAACGGATGGATAAATGGCTGAATGGATGGATTGATTGATGAATGAATGGATGGTGGAGGGATGGATAGGTAGATGAATGATGAAGGATGGTAGGTAGATGGATATTGGTGGATGGATGGATGAATGGATAGATGAATAATGGTGGATGGTGAATGGTGGATGGGTGGGTAGATGGGTGGTAGATGGATGGATAGATGAACAAGTGGATGGCTTGGTAAATGTATGATGGATAAGTGAATGAATGGGTAGTTGGATTGATGAACAAATGGATGGTGGATGGATGGATAGATAGATGACTAATGATAGATGGATGGGTGGATGGTGAATGGATGGTAGATATTCAATGAATAGATGATAGATGGATGGATGAATTGATGACAGATAGATTAATGGATCAATAATGAAGCATGATGGTTAGTGGATAGATGAAAAATGGATTGATGGTGGGTGGGTGGATGGTGAATGGGTGTTACATATTGGATGAGTGGATGATGGATGGTAGATGAATGGATGGATGGTAAATGGGTTGATGATGGATGGATGGTGGATGGATAGTAAACAGTTAGACAGGTGAGATCAGTGTGAGAATCAGGAGTAGGACACTAAGGGAGAGATGCTTGGGAATGACCAGCTCTGCAGACAAGGTATAACCCAAGTTGAAGGTCCTTGAAATCCTGTTGCATGCCTGAGGCCAAGTACACTATACTATTACACCATCATATGGGAGCCTGTTCAGTGTGCACATATGTGTTAAGATGACCTATGTCATAGGATTAGCCACACAGAGGGTAGCCATACAGAAGGCTTCCTCCTCAGGACCCAGTCTCCTCCCCACCATGGCCCAGATTCCCATCTCCCCCCTACAGACAGCACTAACCCCATACAGGGACCCCACATGCACACCAGAATCTCTTGAGCTGATCTCCTCCAGCCCACCTCAGTGCACTATCTGGTTCATGGCTTTAGCAGTCAGGGGTTGGAAAATTGCACCGCAAGGCAAAATCACTCCTAGAAGACAGGTTTCTGACCTCACCACCCCCAACAGCTCTTTAAGTAGGGAAGAATATGGAGATATCACCTTGCCAGGCATGGGAATGGGACTGCCCACCTGTGACCTTCAGCTGGGCCTCTGAGCTACATGAGCCCACTTGGAAACTGATGGTTCCAGCATCCTCCAGGGTCACCTGTGGGAAGAGAGATGGGGTCTCAGCCTGACAACCCATTTGGACTATTTTTTCTGGCAAGTCCCTGGGGCAATCCAGCTAGAGTTAGAACTGTCCGCCCCCCACCCCCCACGAGTTCCTGGAAGCATATGGATGGAGACAGGTCCCAGGGTCCCACCTTGTGAAGAGTGAGTGAGTGCAATGTGCCTTGCTCCACTGTGATGTCATTCATTTCGTTGGCCTGCAGGGGCACTCCTTCCAGGGCCCAGCAGGCCTCCTGGCTAGAGGCCCTGGATAGGTGGCATCGGAAGTGGGCGTCCTGGCCCTCACTGAGCTGCACATCTTGCAGGGGCTCCAGAATGGTCACCTTGGGGGCTGCACCAGGGGAAGTGTGGCATCATTCTCAGCACTGGGAATGCCCCATCATCAGGAGCACCTCCCAGTCCTGAAGTCTTCCCCCAGGACCCCACCCATCTGTAGAGCTAGTTCCCAACCCCAAAACAGAGATGCTTATAGTCTGCTTCTGTCCATGAACAGGGCCTGGATGTTCTGGCTCCAAGTGTGGTGAGAGGGGCAGCCACCCTCACCCACCACCTCAGACAGTGAGCTGGGCTCAGGACCTGTGGATGCCCACATGAAAGGAGACTGCCTGCATCTTCAGGTGTCATGCCCTTCAGCCTCAGTGTGTGGGTGTGATTGCCCTGCATGGCCACCTCTGTCACCTTGTTGCTCTGCAGCGGCAAGTTCTGGAGATGCTGCTGGACACCTGTGGCCTCCACCCTCAACACCTTGCAGCTGAACCCCACATCCATTATGGCCTGTACCTCAGTGGCAACCAGGCCCCACAGGATGGTTTCCTCAGACTCTGGGGTGTAGCTAAAGGGGGCCTTTTACCAGCCAGGTCTGAGCACCCCAGCCAACCTCCCACTCCCCCTCCTCCAGGAAGCCTTCTTGGATATTCTCATACTCTTCCTGCCATGGCCTCTACTGCCTCACATGATATTTGTCAGCCTATTTGCTATAAAACATGGACCCCTGGGGTCAAAGATAGGATGAGGGTGCTTCTCTTAGGAGAAAGTAGGCAAGAGGTTGCAGGGTGATGAGCTGCCTCTGTCCACCCCACCCCATAGCCAGCCCTGTTTTGGCTGAGACATCGGGGAGGCAAGACTTTCAGACAGACAGGCAGGGCCTCAGAAGGGGTAGCTCAGGTCAGGCTGCCCCACCTGCTGGTTGGGGGCAGGGGGCGGTGCAACATCTAGGGGCCACAGCCTCAGTTTTCCCACTGTCAACAGGGTAGTGGTCCAGAAATGAAGAGAGCTTGTAACCCTAGGGGCCTAAGAGTCACCCCAGAACAGCACTTGGTGAGAGGGGGTCAAAAGATAGCTTTTAGAGGAAGGCTCACCTCTGACCTTGACAGAGGCCATGGTTTTCTGGCCACCCACCACACAGGCATACTCGCCAGAGTCCTTGGCCTCAAGCCCGTGGATCAGCAGCTCACACATGACCCCCTGGTGATGCATCTCATACTTGGGGCCTGCGTGCAGCTCCACACCCTCCTTGAGCCACTGCACGGGGGCCCCAGGCTCCACCTGGCTCAGCTGGCAGCACAGCTGGGCCAGGCTGCCCACCTCCTGCTCTGTGTCCTGCAGCTCAGTCTGGAACATGGGCCTAGGGGCTGAGGGGTCAGAAGGGGCACTTAGAGGGGCTGAGCAAGGCACCCCCACTCCGCTCCACAGGGCCTGAGGGGCATGGGGGAGGCAGAGACCAGAGACAGCTCACCTCGGACTGAGAGTCTGGCAGTGCTCTGAATGTGGCCTATGTCACAGGTATAGTAGCCACTGTCCTCCTGCTCCACACCATGTACCAGCAGCTCCACAGTCACACCCTCCTGCACCATCTGATACTTGGTGCAAGGGAAGAGTTGTAGCATGCCCTTGCGCCACTCCACACTGGCGCCTGCCCGGCTCAGCTCACAGTGCAGGCGTGCCAGTGCACCCTCAGCCACCTCCTGGGCCTGCAGCTCCTGGAGGAACCGCACAGGTGCAGCTGTGGGGAGGGGGACATAAGGTCAACAGAACCTCAGGTCAGGTCTGCCCACCAGCCCTGATGGGTTTCCTCTGGGCTAGGGTCCCCCCAGATGGAACTCCCTGGGTGGGACTCTAGCCCAGAGGAAACCCCCAAAGCAGGGGGGGGGTCTGTGCTGAGGGCAGAGCCCACCTTGGGTCCCACCTGTGACAGTGAGGGTGGCACTGGTGGCCTGGGAGCCACAGGTGCAGGTGTACTCGCCCGCGTCCTCCCGGCACAGGTCTTGAAGCACCAGCTCCACCAAGCAACCCTGCTGCCGTGGCTCCAGGCGCTCATTGGCCTGCAGCTCTAAGCCACCCTTGCTCCAGACCACAGCACTGGGCTCCCACAGCTCACACCGCAGGCTGGCCCATGCACCTTCTTCAGCCTGCAGGCTCCTCAAGGGCTCTCTGAATACCAGCTGTGGGGCTGCAGGTTGGGTGGGCAGAAAGGACACAAGGTAAGCCCAGAGACCCAGCCAGGAGACAGGGCTCCCCACACCCAGTCAGCTCCACTGAGAACCTAGGGAAGGCCTGGCCCTCAGCTTCACCCCAGCTGCCTAGCCACCCAAAGGACCCATTGCCACAGGTTCCAGGAGACTGGGGAAGGTTTGGGCATGGTGGGCCTGGGTCTCCCTCAAGGGGAAAGAGGGTCTATGGTGGGAGCTTTAAGAGGAGCTCTGGATGTAACCATGTGAATATTGTGAAGCTGCCACCCAAATGTCCATGGGCAGAGCTAGGTCCAACCAGGTCATCAGGGCCAGGGATCCCCTCAGACCCCTAAGGCAGGGTGAGCCCTCACATCCTGACTAGAGGTTAGGGAGAAAGGGGAAAATATAAATATATTAAGAGAGACAGAGGGACACACTGGCATTCCAGCCGTATACGAGACTGGTCAGAGATGATTTAGATGAAGATCAGTACCTAGATGCCAGGTCTTGGACTATGCAGTAACAGAAAGCAGACAGGAGCAGAGGGAAACAAACAAGGGCAGGGAGGATCTGAAGGCCATTGAACACACAGTATGTGTGCAAGAGACAGAGAAGGAAGAACAGTGCCCAGAGTCCCCATGAAGCCTCATGCAGTTCTTTACCCCTGACGGTGAGCGTGGCTGACGTCCTCTCCTGCCCGCACACGCATGAGTACTCCCCAGTATCAGTCAGAGCCAGGTCCTGGATCTCCAGCTCACACACGGCCCCGTCCTGCCTCAAGCTGACTCTGTCCCCAGCTCTGAGGGTCTCGGGCCCCTTCCTCCACTCCACGGGGGCCGCCTTGCTCAGCTCGCAGTGCAGCGTGGCTGTGGCCCCTTCCGTGGCCTCTTCCTTCTTCAGACCCTTTGTGAACTTCACAGGCAGGGCTGGGGGAGGGGCAGATACACGCAGACACAATCACCCATCTGAGCACAGAGATAGGACAGGAATGGACAACACAGTGAAGACATAAAACCCATCTGGACGAGGGCCTCAGCTGGCTGTGCCCAGTCCCTGCTGTGGACTGTGGCTGCACTCAGCCCAGCCCTTGAACAGAGTGTCCAAGGCCACTTTCAGGGATGCCTCTGCCTCACACTTTGTAGGACACTGGTGAACAGTGTGGGAGAGGGTTGGGGAGACACATGAGACAGTTTCCATGGGGAAAGCCAGGCACAACATGATTGGATGGAGGAAATGACACAGACTCCAAGAAGACAACAGGACAAAGCTGGCGATAACATAATGGGAGTTAGGTGGCTCAGGTGCTGCTTCCTCCCGGTGTGAACAACAGCTTGAGAAGGAGGAAGGGACTCTATGGAACCATGGGACAGGGAGACATCGAGATGGAGAACATGGCACAAGTGCACACAGATGTCATGACATGAGTAGTGGACACCAGAACACCTCTCCACTTGGCCACACTCAGTCTTTACCCCTGACGGTGAGCGTGGCTGACGTCCTCTCCTGCCCGCACACGCATGAGTACTCCCCAGTATCAGTCAGAGCCAGGTCCTGGATCTCCAGCTCACACACGGCCCCGTCCTGCCTCAAGCTGACTCTGTCCCCAGCTCTGAGGGTCTCGGGCCCCTTCCTCCACTCCACGGGGGCCGCCTTGCTCAGCTCGCAGTGCAGCGTGGCTGTGGCCCCTTCTGTGGCCTCCTTGCTTCTCATTCTTCCTATGAACTCAGCAGGAAAGGCTGTGGAAGGTCAGAAACAGGGCACATCATCCTCACCCTCCTACAGGGGATAAAAGGGGCTCCACAGGGCTGGTTGGGCAGGGCAGGGCCATCTTACCCTTTACAGTAAGCGTGGCTGAGGTTGCCTGGTCCCCAAAGTGGCAGGAGTACTGCCCGCTGTCGTGGGGCTGCAGGTCCTGGACCACCAGCTCCAGTGTGGAGCCCCTCTGCCGCATGCTGTATTTGCCTCCTGGCCGCAGAACCTCATCCTCTCGGCGCCACTCCACGGGCACAGCCACAGACGACAGCTTACAGCACAGTGTGGCCGCCCCCCGCTCCAACACCTCCATGTCCTTCAGCCCCTCCTGGAACCGCACTGGCCGTGCTGCAGAAGGCACAAGTTCAGCTTGTTCTCACCCTTACATTCCCCTGGGGCTCTCCTATTGGTGAAGTGGGCTGGAGGTACCAGTACACTCTGCAGGCTAGCCTCATCCCTTCTACATCAGGGGCTGGTGACAGCCATCAGTGACCTGAGAGCTCTGCCCCTCCAGAAGGGGGAGCCAAACAGATGAACAAAGAAGGGTAGAGTGTTGTGAGCTGTAATGTGATTCCCTTCACATACTGGAGCCCCAAACCGAGAACCTCAGATGGGGCTATATTGGGAAATGGGGCCTTTAAAGATGTGAGAAATGTGAAATGAGGTCACTAGAGTGGGCCAAGATCAAATGACTGGTATCTTTATAAGAATAGGAGACCAGGACACGGATACACACAGAGAGACAACCATGTGAGAACACAGGGAGGAGACAGCCATCCACACACCAAGGAGAGAGGTTACAGGAGAACCAGCACTGCTCCCACCTGGAACCCAGACTTCCATCCTGGGGGTGGGGAAGAAATAAATGTCTGGTGTTTGAACTGCCCTGTCTGTGGTATTTGTTACTCAGCCCAGGCTGACAGAGGCTGATGGAGGTGGGCCAAGCCAGCAGGAGGGAGACACAGAGATGTCAGAACACAAGACAAAGTCAGGAATCAAGTACAAAGGAGAATGCCAGTCAGGAAACCAACAGAAAGCAAGGGGGGCTCTCTCAGCAGCAGAGACACAGAGACAGGAAGCAGCAGTAACAGGGATGAGCTACAGAGAGACCAGATGGACAGAGCCAGGTGAATCCCCTGTACACACCCCCCCCACACACACACAGACACTGAGAGGGCAAAGGCCAAGAGAGAGGGAGCTGGATAGGGTCCGGAGCCTCCCCACCCCTGAGCAAGATGAAAACCATGGGCACCCAGTGCTGCTGGGAGCTCACCGTGGACCCTGACAATGGAGCTGCTCCAGGCACCACCAGCCTCACACTTGTAGCGCCCACTGTCCTGCAGGGTGATGTCAGTGATGACCAGCTGGGCATGGTGGCCCTCACGGCTCAGCTGGCATCGAGCTGATGCCCGCAGGGCTTTCCCATCCTTGGTCCAGTGCACAGGGTTGTCTGGGACAGTGGTCTCACAGACCAGGGTCAGATCCTCCCCCTCCATGACTGTGGCATCCTTGAGCTCCTGGGAGAAGACACTTGGCTTCTCTGGGGATAAAGAGGGGAGGACAGGGCACTTGTAGGCTCTGCAGAAGAAGCTCCAGATGTCACTGCAGCCCAGGTGACACCCCAGGTCAGTGCCCATCTGTTCACCTCAGGGTGGGGACACAGACAAGGAAGGCTCTGAGTGGTTTTCCACATCACGGGGGCATAGCCAGGCCTATGCCATGCTGACCATGGAATCACATCTGCATACCCTGCACAATAAGTCATCCTTAAACCACCACACCCAACCACCCAAGTCCACCCTGGGATCCAAGGCCCAGCCCACAGCACCTTCTCTGTGAGCCCCAGGATCACACTGTGTCCAGAGCCACATGAACTGGTCCCTACCAGAGTACTAGGCACACAGCCCACCTGTGACCCGCAGTGTGGCTGAGGACCGCTGGTCGCCTGCTTCAAAGTGGACAGTGCCCGAGTCCTTGAGTGCAAGCTGCCGCAGGGTGAGCACATGGTAGCCACCTGACTGGACCTCAATCTCATTGAGCTCATTGGCATGTAGGGGTGTCTTGTCCAGGAACCAGTGGACAGGCCCGTAGTCAGCAGGGGAGATGCGGCAGTTGAAAGTGGCTGAGGAGCCCTCCTGTACTTCAGCATCCACAAGCTCCTCCACAATGAGCACTCTCTGACCTGGTGGGCAGGGTGGGTACATCAGGACCCCATTGAGAGAAATGGGATGTTCCCCTAGACCTGGTGTGGGCTCAGGGTCACAGTGAGCTGGTGACTATTTCAGGATCACAAAACTAAGGAAACAGTAAGAGTCAGAGCTGAACTGACAAAGTATTTGTTTTAGGTCCATGGAGGAGCCCCAGCCCTCTCAGTCCTTCTACAGAGCATAAAGAGTAACCCACAATGGCCCCTCCACAAGTTGTGCTTCCAGCTTGTCCATGCCAGTGCCCCCATCCCCAGAAGACAATGATGAGCCTCACCCTGCCTGTCAGACACAAACTGCTCTTCAAACCTGGGGACCTTCATGTGCAGAGGTGGTACATCTGCATGCAAATACACACAGAGCACATGCAAAGGGGCTCAGACACATACTAGCACATAGGAAGGGCTCCAGAAACACACACGCAGTAATAAATGGAGGCTGCTGATTCATTCACACAAGGTCCAAGTGGGAGGACCACAGAGACAAGACCACCCAAGGCAACCCCGTTAAGAGATGGGGAAACCAAAGCTGGGCTTATCCAGGGCCCCTGAGTCTGCTTTAAACAGGTCACATCACAGGCCATGAAATCTGTGCAATGGGCCACCCTCACCTTGCACCAGGAGCCGTGCCTGGGACTTTGCCTGGCCAATGTCACAAGTATAGGTGTCGTTGTCTGCCTCCTCCAGGGCACTGATGGTGAGCCTCAAAGTCACGCCCTCCTGGCTGGGTGCATGCCTCTCTGAGGCATGCAGCTCAGAGAGACCCTTGCGCCAGATCACTGTGGCTGCAGGGCGCTCTGTCTTGCAGGTGAACACAGCTGTGCCTTTTTCCTCCACCCGCAGATCCACCAGCTCCTCTGTGAACCAGTTTGCCATTTCTGGTGGAAGAGATAAGAAGGGGTGAGGGTAAAGCCTGAAACCCCACTGTGCCCCTTGGGACATGAGCAATTCACCCCCCAGCCTGCCCACGCAACCTCAGGGACTGAGTGGATCCCCTTCCCTCTGGACCGCCTCCCTTTCCACCTGGGACAGCACAGCGGAGGCCCTGAGGAAGTGGACCCATGCCATGCTGAGGAAGAGAGGCCATGGGGGCTGCTTCAGAGTCTCTCGTGGGATTACCTTCCACTCGGAGGCTAGCCGTGCTCTTAGAAACCTCTGTCTCACACGTGTACTCTCCAGAATCCTTGATCGAGGCTGTGCGGACCACCAGCACAGCCCGAGTACCCTCGCTGAGCAGGTCATACTTCTGACTCTTGCGAATGGGTTTCCCTTCCTTCAGCCAGCGCACCGGGGCTCCCGCCCGTGACAGCTCACAACTCAGTATTGCATCTTCCCCGGGCACGGCCTGCTGATCCTCCAGAGGTTTTGTTATGTCTGCTGGCTTTTCTGAAGGGGGCAGAGGCAGCCTGTGAAGCACAGCCACGGCCATGCCAGAGGCAATGGCAGAGCTGGCCCTTGGAAATCTTCAGGCTCTGGGGGCCAAGACCACAGACATACAGCCTGAAACTCTAGGACCTCAGACCCAGGAGCCACAGAGCCTTGGAATGCCAGGACCCCCACTGTCACAAGCGAGGAGGCTTTGAGTAGGAGATGTGAGAGCACAGATGCTTTCAGCATCGTTCAGAGCCCAAGACTTAGAGTGTGGCAGTGGCTGGTGCCAGCTGTGAACCAAGCTTCATTGATCTACACCAGTGTTTATGCTGGGAGCATGAGCTCAGTGATTTCACTGGCTTGGTGACCATGTGCCCTGGAGCTACCACAGTAGTCGGACCACAGGTGGGAGACAAAAAACCCTGAGTCCCTGGACAACTAGAAACAGCAAGCATTCCAACAGGAGCCTCTGGGTCCCCACCAGTGGCTGAGGGAGACAGTCCCCAGAGACACACCCTGGCAGGCTACCCAGCCTGAGACCCTGCTGTAGACTGGTTGGGGAGAGCCCAAGCTCAGTACACAGAGACGCCCTGTCTGCCCTGGATGCATGTGCTCACCTCTGACGATGAGTGAGGCCCTGGAGGTGAGGCCCCGCACGGAGAAGACCACCTCCCCGGTGTCACCCAGCACCACTTCTTGCACAGTCAGGGTGAACTTTCGGCCCTGGCACGTAGCCTGGAAGCGGCCAGAGCCACCCACTGTCTTTCCGCCGACTGTCCACACAGCAGTGTCACCTGTATCCTCATGGGACAGGATGCACTCAAAGCTGCAGCGCTCACCTTCTAGCACCTCCACCGTCTTCAGCCTCTTGGTGATACCCACGTGCAGGTCTGTGAACCATGGAAAGCAGCCATCACACTGGCTGGGTCCTGGATGCCTGCCTCTCAAGACCAACACCATCGAGCCCCAAAGTGTTCCAGAGGCTCAAATACTTGCCCTCCACAGCCCCCCAGCAAATGCCCCCTGGGCCTCCAGCTGGCCACACCCTGGTGTTTGGATGACCAAGAGCTGTGAGTACCAACCAGAGTGGCCACCTTCCTCTCTGCTACAGAACAAGGGGCAGAGGAAAAAGCATCAGGGGTTTTCACTAGCTCACATGCTCTGGAAGAGAAAGGACAGCCATCTCAAATGAGGGGGCCACCTAGCTCTGGTATAAACTCACTGTACCCCTCACCTTTCCTGTCTCATCTCAAACCCACCAGACATCAGGGAGCCACGATGAGTTCATAGAGAACAGTCCTGTCATGCATAGATAGCATGGTAAGATAGCAACCGCCTGGTTGGGGAACAAGACCCAGGCTGTGGCTGTGGCTGTGGCCTGGAAGTCCTCCCCAGGCATCTTCCTCCTGACACCGTGGTCTCTCTCCCTCCCCGCCTCCAAGAGGCTCCCTTGATGGGCCTCATGCCTGCTCACACACATCCCCTGGTACACAGTGGATGTCTCCAGGCCCTGTTGGAACCTGAGTACTGTGTGACTCCATCAGGCAGAGCCTGCCCAGTCTCCCATGCTTCACTCCATTAAGGTCCTCCCACCAACCTGCCTGCTGCACCTGGACCTCCTAAAGACCGAGACAAGCCCACTCTTCCCAGAGCCTGCCTGACCTCTCCTGGCTCACCAGAGCAGCCCAGCAGCCTTGGTTTAGGAGTGGGTGGGGCCTCAGGAGGTGGTACCCTGAGCCAGAGCCCAGCCACGCCCCCACGCACCCTGCACGTTGACCTGTGCCCGGGTCTCCTCAGTGCCTAGGTGACAGGTGTACAGGCCTGCGTCGTCCTTACTCAGGTCGTGCACCACTAGACCACGTGTGCCCGCTGTTTGCAGAAAGTCATACTTGTCGCTGGGACCCAGCTCTACGCCATCCTTGCGCCACACCACGCAGGCGTGGGGGTCAGAGACCTCACACTGTAGGGCCAGAGAGCCCCGCTCCTCCGCAGACACATCATCCAGTGCCTTCAGGAACACCACTGGCTTCACTGCAGGACAGGGTGTGATCAGGTGAGCAAAGGAGCTGCCACCTTTGCCACTGGGGACCCCTGGGGGAACCCCCACAGATCCCGCAGGGACCCTCACCTCTGACCTCCAGGTGAGCAGAGGCCGTCACCTTGGGGGAAGAGGCGCACACCATTCCCGCGTCCGACCGCCTGACCCGTTTCAGTACCAGCGTGTGGCGGTGGCCCTTGTGGGTGATTTCATGGAAGCTGTCATTGTAGAGGGGCATCCCATTGAGCGACCACTCCACCTCTTCATCCTCATGGGAAAGCTCCAACGAGAAACAGGCGCGACCCTCCTCTGTGGCCTCTGTGTCCTGCAGTGGCTGCGTCAGTATCACCTCCCGAGCTGCCAAGAGCATACAGGAAGGCTCAGCTTATGCCACCACCACCTGCCCCAGGGCTCTCAAGGTGGCCCTGTACCCCTGCCACGCACCTTCCACGGTGACTCGGGCGCTGCTCTGGGCATTGCCAGCCTGGCACCGGTAGATGCCAGCATCGGCGGGCGTGAGCCGCAGGACACGCAGCTCCGCCATGTGACCCTCCAGACTCATTTTGAACTTATCAGACGGTGCCAGGGGTGTGTCCTCCTTGTACCACTGCACAGCCTTGGGTGGTGGCTTGAAGTCGCAGGACAGGACCACCGACTGCAGCTCGTGTCCAGTCTTAGGCTCCAGAGGCCGTGTAAGCACCACAGGGATGTCTGAGCAGGAGGAGAGAGTACAGCACTGCGGGGAGGGCTGGGCTGAGGAGGGGAGGAAGCCCCAGAAACCATGATCGGCTGCCCTGGTCCAGCACCTCATCTGCAGGAGTCCCTCCTTCTGCTCACAGGCTGCACAGCTCACCTGAGACGACCAGGTGGGCAGTGGAGCGAGACTTGCCGATGGTGAAGTGCACTGGCCCAGTCATGGTAGAGCAGGTGCGCCGCAGCGTCAGCCGGTGCACTGTGCCTTCCTGCTCCATGCTCACGTCCGCCCCAGCCTGCAGCACCGTCTTCCCCAGCAGCCACTTAGGCGACCGAACAGATGGTATAGAGGTCTCGCACTCAAACCAGGCAGGGGCGGGCTCCATCACCATCACGTCCTGCAGACCCCGCAGGATGGTGATGGATTGCTCTGTGGGCGAGGGAAGGGTCACCACACAGTTCTGCAGGACTGCTGCACCCCCATGCTGTTCCTTCCTGGGGATACACTATCCCCTACACTCTGTGCTCTCACCCTCCCCTACCTCCTGCCCCAACACTCCCCAGTTGGCCTGCCTGCCTCCAAGTATCAGGGTCAATGACAAGGCCCTAGCCCATCCCCAGGCACAGGAGACAGCTGTTGCCTCACCCCTGGGCCCTGCCTCACCTTCCACAAAGAACTGGGCGCTGGTCTTCACATTGCCAGCATCACATGTATAAGTGTCCTCATCCTCGGGCTGCACATCATTGATGACTAGCTTGCGGTAGAGGCCATCACTGACCATCTCATACTTGGGTCCAGGCCACAGTTCCGTGCCACCCTTGAACCACCGCACTTGGGCGCTGGCCCGGGACATCTGGCACTCAAGTATGCCACGGTGCTTCTCCATGGCAATCTTGTCCCGAAGTGGGCGCAGGATGGACACTGGCAGCTCTGTGGGTGAGGCCAAGAGGGGTCAGGGTGGGCATTCAGCCACCTCAGCCCCCTGAGACTAGGCGCTCTGTCTATGCAGCTCCCATCCAGCCAGGTTAAGCCAAGTGTCATGCTCAGGGCTGAGATCCTCTGTACAATTGACCACAAAGCACCTTCACCCCTTGTGCCTCTTGCTGTACCCCGTTGCTGCCCCCACATCTGCCCCACCCTGGCCTGCACATCACTGCATCCCGGGTGGTTGCCTTGCCTGTCCTCAGGCCCCCTCCTCCCTTGTGCCTGGTCTCCACTCCCTCCTGTCATCAAGGCCATCAGCCTGGCACCTTGCTTTCCAGCACCTGCCAAAGTCCCAGGAGGAAGAATTTGCCGGTACCCTCACTTTAAACAAAGGTGGGCTGCCTCCCCAGAGCCCTGTCTTCCTGCAGTGGAGGCAACACCCTCTTTCGCTCTTCCTGGGTCACCCATCCTGCCAGGCAAACATTGGAACAGCTGGCTCAGCACATGCGTGTTCTCATTTGGTGTCCAGTCTACACCCTCCCCTGAGGCCCCTCACCTCTTACTCGGAGCTGGGCTCGAGATTCTGCATTTTCGGCCACAAATCGGATTTCTCCTGCATCTTCCACCAGAACCCTCCGGTAGATGAGTGTGTATATCCTCCCTGGGGACACAGACCACTGAGCACCTGGGGAGGTGCCTGGGGGATAGGGAGAGGCCCTCCCACAGCCACTTGCTGCCCTCACACCTTCCTGGCGGATGCGCACGTTGTCACTGGGCCGAAGCTTACTGCCCTTCCGGAACCACTGGGTTAGCACCTCATCATGGGAGACCTCGCAAGAGAAGGTGGCACTCTCCTTCTCTGTCACCTCCACATCCTCCAAGGGCCTCAGGATCTGGACATTGCGGCCTGAGGCATGGAAGGAGACCGTGCCACACTCTGAGACACAGAGCTGCCCACCCCCACCCCTAGTTTGCTGAGTATAGGAGGGGGTCAAGACCAGAGGGCAAGTACCCTGATGGGGGACACTGAGGACCAGGAGGTCTTTGCACCTAGCCCTGTTCTCCCACTCTGCCCAGCCCTCACCTTGCACCTTCAGAGAGGCCAAGGTCTGAGCTTCGTGGGCATCACACACATACACGCCCTGGTCCCCAAAGGCACACTGGTAAATGATGAGTGTCCGGCAGGTGCCCTGGGCTGCCATGCCCACTGTCTTGCCAGCCTGCAGCTCCACACCATCCTGTAGGGTACAAGGCCAGGTCAGGCACTGAGGATGCCTACCCAACAGTCCTACTCCTGCCCACCCATGGGGAGGAGTGGGATGGAGCAGAAGGGTCCACGGACAAAGGTACCTTCAGCCAGCGCACATCCACATTGGGACGGGACAGCTCACACTCCAGGGTCACTTTGTCCTTTTCTGTGGCCACCACATCTTTCAGTGGGCGGCTGAACCTCACAGGCAGCTCTGGGGAGGCAGGAGAAGGAGATGAGAGTCAGGTCCCGGAGGAGCCCTGGGCAGGGGTGAGGGGGCTGAGCTGGACCAAATCACTCAGCTGGTTCTAGGAATGAATGTCCCCCTCACCCCGAGGATTCCACCTCCCTGTCCCTGCCTGTCTCCTGGGCCACCTTAGGGACAGGGATGAACATGCTCTCGAGTGGGTGCCTCCCTGTTCCCCACGCACCAGTTACCACCAGCCGAGCAGATGTGTGCACGCCCTCAGCTTTGAAGGCGATGAGACCACCATCCTGTGGCTGCAGCTCAGACAGCATGAGTGTATGGACGGGGCCTTGCACTGCCAGGTGGCACAAGGGCCCTGGCTGTAACCGAAGACCATCACGCATCCAGCTGCCCTCCACATTAGCATGTGACAGCTCCACCTCCATGATAGCCGAGCCCTGCTCCTGTACCTCCATTGCTTGCAGGCCCCGCAGGAGCCGGACCTGGCGCACTGGAGGGCAAACATGGCACGGGTGTGCTACTGCACCAGGACCCTGACCCTCAGGCCAGCCCTCCTGACCTCCCCAGGGGCCTCAACTCAGCATGTTGTGCCCTAGAAGGGAAGGCCCACTTCCACCCACCACAGGAGGATAATTGCTTTCCATGGAAGGCCCACCTTGCCACCATCCCTGCAACCCCTCCCCTAGCATGCCCCTCCAAGTTGGTAGTCCATCCCCACCCTCCCTTTCCATCCCCTTCCCAGGGAATGTCTCCAGTGGGAAACTCTGCTCCTCTCATGCCCCCCTCCCCTCCCTCCTCCATCCTGGGTGCTGGCCCCCAGGCACAGCTGCCCTGCAGCTCACTTTCCACTGTGAGTTTAGCCTGCGTCTTGTCATCTGGTGTCTCACAGCCATAGAAGCCTCGGTCAGCAAAATCCACGCTGTGAAGGACCAGGGAGTGACTCGTGCCCTCCGTGTGAATCTCCACCTTCTTGCCTGGGGCCAGGACCATGGCATTGCGTGTCCACTTGACCTCTGGCCAAGGCCTGGTCAGCTCCACCACCATGGTCACGGAACCCCACTCCTCCACTGTCTGTGGCTCCAGCTTCTTCTTGAACAGCACAGGAGCCTCTGTGGCCAGGAAAAGGGCAGTCACACAGTGACTGCCACTCAGGGAGGCCAGGCACAGAGGGTTCCTGTTCACCCCAACCCCCAGCAGGCAGAAAGGGGCCCTGCCACACTCGGACTTGAAGCCAGACAAGGCCTTAGTCATACTCAGGGCCCAGCTGCACATTTGCACAGGTATACTTTTATGGGAGGGCATGGAGACTAAGGAGGTTTCTCCTTCCCCAACCCACTCACACCTTTTGCTCTCCTGCTCTGAAAACCCTGCCATGCCCCACTGCCTGGAGCTCCTAAATGTGGCCAGTGGCCAGCAGCCTTGGGACACAGGGAGCTGGTGAAACAGGTGGACTCTGAGCCCCCAGGCCCTCAGTGTCAGCACCTCTGCTCCACTAAGACCCTGGGAGTATATACAGGAAGGAAGAGAAACGTGCTGGATTGCACCTCCCAGTCCCAGGCTATGCCATGACCTCCCCAGAGAGTGTATCTGCCTACACTACTCTTACTTGAAAACCTGCAATGGCATACCTTCAGGTGACACCTGGCTCATGCCAGCATAATCTGGCTTCAGCAAGCAAAGTATATCCTCATCTCCTGTCTCTGCTTGCACTGGCTGCCAATTACACTCCCCCCTACCTCAACACTTATGGGGCTCAGTGTGGGACCCCACTTTCAGACCAGGTACACTTTGCAACAATTTACTTTCTACCCCTCAGCGGAGGTGTCCACTCCACTCCAGTCTTCTCTTTGCAGCCAGGAAACTCTGTGTCCCCTGAGATCAGCCAGAGGACCTGGGCGCCAGCGAGCAGCAGGTTGCCAGCCAGGAATCAGCTCACCCAGGAGGTGCCCAACTCCCTGTCACCCCCACCCCCACCACCAACACACACACTCACCTCGGACCCGCAGGACAGCCGAGGATGTAACACCCTCAGCCTCTGCGGTGATTTCACCTGCGTCCTCCAGGGCCAGACCAGAGATGGTCAAGCTGTGGCTGGCGCCACTCTGCGATATGAGAAACTTCTCGCTGGGCTGCAGCTGGGTGCCATCCCGGAACCACGTGACAGCTGCATCGCTGGGGGTCACCACACACTGGAAGGTGGCCTCTCGGCCCTCCTCTGCAACCACAGCGCTGAGCCCGGATGTGAACTTGACCTCACGGGGGACTAGGGGCAGGAGCTCCATTTGAGAGGCGGGCAGGAAGGGCGAAGCCCCACCAGAAGACACCGAGGAAGGGCGCCTCCTCCGTGAAGCCACCCGGGGAAGCTGAGCTACCCGCCCCAGTCTACACCCACTGCGGCTGCGTACCACAGACTGTGAGCTGGGCGCTGGTCCGGTCATCACGGCTCTCGCACACGTATTCGCCCGCATCCTCCACCCTGAGGGCTGACACAGTGAGCGAGCGCATTGGCCCCACAGCTGCCATCTGGAAGTGCTTGCCTGCCCGGAGCTGCATGCTTCCATAGCGCCACAGCACCTCGGCCTGCTCCGGTCTCAGCTCGCAGGTCAGTGTCACTGTGCCACCCAGTTCGCCACTCACAGGCTCCAGGGGCCGGCAGAACTTGGCGGCCACCTCTGCGGAAGGCGAAGGACATCAGCCGGGAGGGGCATAGGCATTGGGGACCATCTCTGCGCTTTGGGGTCATGCTCCCTGAACCCCACCTGGATCCACTCTGGACACTGCCTGCACGCCCTCCCATGAGACCCCAGCAGACACAGGTTCTCAGAGGACTGCGCGTGTGGACGGCTGACCTTCCACCTGCACTGGGAAGTCCTGCCCCTCAGCTCCCACGCGGCAGCTGTAGATCGCGCTGTCCAGAGTCTGTGCGCTGCGCACAGTCAGAGTGTGCGTGTCCCCCAGGCTGGCCATCTCATGCCGCTTGCTGCGTCGAATCTCCACACCGTCCTTGAGCCAAGTCACCACAGCCACAGAGGGTGTGGCCAGCTTGGCAGTCAGGATAATATCCTCGTGTTCCCTGACCACCAGAAGCTCCCTGCAGCCTGGTCTCTCCAGGGCAGGGGGCTCAGGCTCTGGCTCTGGGGCACAGGAGGCAAGGAAAGGAGGATCAGTCAGCTCAAGCGGGGACCCTGCATCCCTGACCTGAGCCCTGCTGCTCTCAGGCCATAAAGTGAAGGCCTAAAATGGAGCTGTCCCAAGTTCCAACTGCTCTTCAATGCTCTGTTTGCCCAACCCTTGGCTGCTGCTTCCACTGAACAGGACCAAACATGAATGCAGCAGGGCCCCACACCACTTGGTGGTCACCATCAGGTTCCCAGGAGCCATGAGGAGTAGCCAGGAAGAGCTAGCTGCAGGCAACCACAGGCCTGGGGCCCACAAGCTCTGTCCAACCAAGAATCTAGAGGCCAGATGCCTGCCCTCCAGGGCTCCATGGGCCCATCAGCAGATACTGCAGGGACACTAGGGTCAGCCTGGTAACTGAACTGACATTTCAGAAGGACATCAGGGAGCAGAGCAAGGAAAGGAGCTGGAGAGGGCAGATTGGGTTCAGAACCCTGGGGACAAAGGCTGAGAGGTGTGAAACAGACTGAGTGCTTCAGGCAGCTAAGCACAGTGGGGGAAGGAGGTGCAGAGCAGAAACAAAGGGAGAGGGTGAAAGCATCAGCATGGGGCCCAAGAGGGTGGATCCCTGTAAAAGATTATCTTGGTGAGCAACTAAAAACCACGCTGCCTGTGCAATGGGGAACAGGTGGGCAAAGGCCACAGCTGGAGATGGTACAGTGTTGGCCAGCTCAGGACAGATGCCTAAAGCAAGACTGAAAGGTGCTGTCATCAGCTGGGGAGGTATAAGGAACAGGCGGTGCACCAACAGGACTAGGACCAGGCCAGGGTCATGCGTCTGAGCACTAGCTGGGCGGATTTAGAAACAGCTGGAAAGCGAGTACCCAAAGACCAGAGACAAATACCCGAGCTCTACTGAGGACAAAGCCATCCAAAGCCATAGGCCCCTCTAGTGAGGTTCCCCAAGGCAAGGCTGGGTTCCACAACTGCTCAGGTGCACATAAACCAGGAATACTGCCTGCTCCAGGCAATAGACAGAGAATGGGCATTTCCATAGACCTCAGCCCTTAAGCAGCCCACAGAAGCCTCCGGGAAAGGTTCTATGCTGGTAAAGGTAGGAACACAGCAAACAGAGCAGAAATGTGGGGAAAAGATGCCCAAAATATGCTAGACTAGGGTCTACAGCCATCACTGTAAGACCCAAGAGCTCAGTACACAGTAGAGACCTGGGATGGGCTATGTCAATGGACCCAGCGAGGGGCAACCATGCCTGCAGAGCAAGCATAACCCTCTCAGGACAATGCCCATCCCTTGATTCAACAAACACTTGTCTGCTCACCCTAGGCTGGAACCAACCTGTGAAATCCAGGCTGAAGGTGACCCTCTGGCCCGCAGCCTCACAGCTGTACTCCCCGCCGTCCGCCTTCCCTGCCTGCGGCAGCACCAGCCGCCGGGTGCAGCCCGTGGCCTCCACGTGCACTTTCGAGCTCCCACTCAGCTTCTTGCCGTCCTTATACCACGTCACCTGCGTCTGGGCCTGGGCCACCTCGCAGCTCAGCGTGGCAATAGTCCCCGCCTTGGCCTGCACCTGATTGTGAGCCGGCTGCTCCTTGGCAAATACCACTGTGGGCTCTGGGGGCAGGGAGGGGGCACACAATTAATGACATAATGCTGGTACCAGACTATGTCACTGGCACCAATGCCTCATAGTTCAGTCAATATTCTCCTTGGAACCATGTGCCAGGTGGGGTCTTATTGTTTGATGGGTGTTAGACTTGTGTTTACACACATATGTCTCCTATCACAGAACCTCAAGTGTAGATCTGCAGAGTGTCCTGACTGGGAGCAATTCCTTGGACTGGAGGAAGGCATCCAAGGCAGTTCCCATACCTGTTACTGCCTGGTCATTGTCTTTCCCAAGTGGCTGTCAGCTCCTGTGGCAGGTGTGCTGAGTCACCCTTGCACGCACAGAGCCTGGCATGTGGCATGTCATCCACAAACTTACCTACATTTTCCTAACTATACCTCACATGTAAGCACACTAATTCATCTGTACAGCCTAAGGAAGTGTAAGCATACTTACCCCCATGCACCCAAACATATCACAGACAGAACATTTGCAGCTTCACATCCACTGGTGACCACCCCCAAAAGGAAGCACCATTCTGGCCTCTGTCACCAATAACCACTTTGACCTGTTCTTTGCTTTCACATGAATGAATTATATTCAGTGTCCCGTGGGCCCGCTTTCTTCCACTCAACATACTGTCTGGGAGCTCCATCATGCTTTTCCATGGAGTGGTATTCTCTTCTCTTGTAATGATGGGTTCTGTTGTATCACACCCTTGTTTATTTTTCCTTTTCCTTGTCTGGTTCATTTGGATTGTTTCCAATGGGGGGATACAAGGAGTAACCTGTTGTGAATACTCACATGGGCAGGCTCACATGGGCAGGGACATAGGTAGGCCAGTATTCGGGCTTTAACACATATTTTCAAAGAATTTCCAGTATGGTTGTGCTAACTTACACTTCCACCAAAAGTGTTTGAGAGTTCCAGTTGTACATCTTTCCCGATACTGGATATCATCAATTTTTCAGTTGAATATGTTCTACTAAACCCAAATGAATACACATAAGATCTCAGAAGGTTCATGCTTTGGTTCAATCATTCATTCACTCATCTATTTGATCACTGATCCAGCTAAAGTCAATGGATGGCCACAGTGTGCAGGCACTATGGTGGGGGATGTTCTGATGACCAGCACAGTCTCTGTTTCCACAGAGCCAGCCTTCTAATGGAACAAGAGAGACAACCACACATAAACCATGACAATAATGACATAGTGCTATGCTGAGTTCTGTGATGAAGTAAAACAGGTGACAGGTTTGAGAGAAGGGTCAGAATGGTGACATATGTGATTGTCCGAGAACATCTTCTAAGGAGTGACATTTAGGTGGACTGCTCATTGATAAAAGGGAGGGAAATAACATTGATAACCCTGGTCAAAACTGGAATGGAGCCTCGAGTCAACACAACAGTGAAGAGACTAATGTTCTTAGTCATCCTCTCCCTGCCCAGCAAAGGAAAGAGTGGTCCACTTTATGTAATAAGATAACAGCATCCATATTAACACATTTTCTCACAGGTTACGTGGCAGTTGGTTGAAAATTCTCTGGCATGCCAAGGAGAGTTGAAAAAAAAAAAGGATGCAATATCAGATGATGGTTTTTATGGTTATCAGAACATGATACAGCTATGACTAATATTTTTAAAAAGTGAAAGAAAATGCATCAAATATGAAAATTTTATCATGGAGTCTAGAATATATAAGAAATTAGTTAAATGAAAATTACAGAACTGTAAAATAAAATAACCAAAACACACTATAAATGGGTTTGACAGCTGATCAGATACAGCAGAGCAGAAGATAGTAAATTAGAAGACAGGCTAAAAGAAGATATCTGTAATAGAGCTGAGAGAATAAAATAATTAAAAGGAAAAGAGAAGGAGAGATGCATGTGAGGCATGTGATAACCTATATTATACATCTGATGGAGGACATAAATCCACAGACTCAAGATGCTCTACTGCCCATGTATGAGTACAAAGAAAACCACACCTGCTGAAAGTAAAACTGCTTAAAATCAAAATCAAAAACCATATCTTAAAAGCAACAGGATAAAAAACAATAACTGTAACTCTTGAAGGGACATAATAGACTTGAAAACTGATGTTCAAAACAAAATGTAGAGATCCAAGATGGTGGCAGAGTAGGTGGAAGTTATATCCACTAACTCATGTGAAGAAACTAGAAATACAACCAAAATACAGACCAAGTACCTGATAACCAACTGAACTAGATGAACTGAAGTCTTATAACCAACAATTTACAGAAGAGGACATATTGAGACAGGTAGGAAGGGCAGAGACATAAAGTGAACAGTGCTGCTCCCATGGGTGGCAGCTGGGATTCCAGAGGGACTACTCCTGAGGAGTGTTGGATCTCAATCCCACACTGGGTTACCCAACATAGCACACTGCAGCCAGGAAGAGGCACCTACATGTGGCTGTGAAAATCAGCAGGGATTCTGCCAGGGAGATACAGTAGTCTGATAGAGACACAGGTACACTCTTATAAGGTCAACATGCAAAATCTCATTTGTAGCCACTCACCCCAGGCTCCAAGCAAAGAAGGGAAGAGCAGACAAGTCCCATGTGAGGAGATACTGACGGGTGTGGCTATGGGGACAGGCTGAGGGAGAGACACCAGGCTCCCTGTACTGATCCCTTTTACCAAACCACAGGTGTCATCTGTCTTGGGTGAAGAACTCCCCTTCAGGTTGGGGGATGCAACAGCTCCAAACTCTGGACTCCCTGCCACCCCACCCTGCATATCTAACACTGTGCAGTGGAGTCAGCTGCATGGGCCTGGGCTGTGGAGGTCTGAGCAGACTTAGGGGGTGTCAGTGACTGAGTTGTATGGTACAAGGGCAGGGGCTGTTCACCCCAACTTCCCAGGAGCCTGACCAGGATGGGAGATCGACTAGACCCTCCCTATAGATACTCAATGGTCCCACCCTTCCAACTTTTGACAGCCCTGACCTACCATGCTCAGGTTTCCCAGGAGTTAATGGCAGAGTCCTGGTCAGTCTGAATGTGTCAACTCTGGAGCAAACGCTACTCCCCCAACTTTTACCAAGCTTGACAAGTGCCTCCCCGTGATGGGACATCCACTAACCCCACCATTCTGACATTCAGTGGCCCCAGTCTGCTGCACTGGGATCCCAGCAGAAACTGGGACAGAGTGATGTATTTGGCTTTTGGACAAGAGTCATTTTTCCCTCACACACCTGACTACTGCAGACCTCCCTTCACAGCCAAATCTTGGTCTGTTTGGGCCTGATAAACTCTGCTGCCCTCTCCCTGACAAATCCCTGAGACTTCATCTAGCCACGAAGGTCTGTGGGCACCTAGCAGGTGGCAGATAGGCTTGGAACACCCTGGAACTTCTGCCAAGTGGCTTGTGATCCAACCTTGGCATCAAGTTTGAACCTGTATCAATCTGGTGATCACCACTCGCCCCTCCCTGGTGACTCACTGAGAACATACCTCATGCAACATGAGTACCACCACAGGCTCTTTCAGTGACTGAGACTAACAGACATCCAGCAGGTGGAGGCAGATCTCAGGTGCCTTGGGCCTTTTGCTGACCTGTTCCCAGGCTCAGTGCTGGTGGAATCTGGTCTTGGTTCGCAGCTTGGTCCTTCCCACAGACACCCAGGCCCTACTCAGGCATCCACAAACTATGGATAGCTCTGTAGCTCCAAACAGGTTGCCCAGGGACTATCACAGGCAGCATCTGATATTGACCTCACCAGAATCCTCCCAAGAGGACCCAGAACCAACACATTCAGTGGCGAGATTCAGGCAACATCAAACCAGGATTCAATTACCTTCACAAGCAGCATGTCCAAAGGAAGATCTCAGCAGGCAACAGGCCATGCAGAGGTGAATTCCACCTCATGTGGTCAAGGCCTGCACAAGCAGCTCGCCCACCGTAGTCATGGACAATCCTCAAAGTCAGCCAACGTGAGGGTCTACCCCATGCACAAATGGACCAAAGGCCACCAAGACTCAATTACAACAGGAAGGCTCACAAATCCACACAAGGGACATTCCTGGAGCACCCAGTTGGTGATCAAGGTGAATGAGCTGCTGGGTCCCACAGGATACCTACTATGTTAGGCTACCATACCAAGACTGGGAGACATTGCAGATCTAGCTAATACATACAAACAAACTCAAAGGGGCAGCCAAAATGGGGAGGAAAGAAACATGCTTCAAATGAAAGTACAGGAGAACTCCCCAGAAATAGAGCTAAATGAAACTGAGGCAAGCAATTTACCAAATATAGAGTTCAAAAAAGTGGTTATAAGGATGTTCAAGGAACTTTAGTGAGAACTTCAACAGCAGGAAAAAGGACTACTACAATTAAAAAATAAGTCAGAATTGAAGAATACAATATCTGAATTGAATAATACACTGATAAGAATAAACCATAGGTTACATGAAGCAACAGATTGAATAAATAACTTGGAAAGCAAAATAGTATAAAACACCCAATCAGAGAAGTGAAAAATAATTTTTTAATGAGGATATTTTAAAGGAGCTTTAGGATAGCATAACATGTAATAACATCTGCATCATAGGAGGACCAGAAGAAGAAATTTTAAAATTTCATTTCTTTTTAGAGTGAGGGAAAGAGAGGGAGAGAAGCATCAATGTGTGGTTGCCTCTCATGTGCCCCCCACCAGAGACCTGGCCTGCAACCCAGGCATGTGCTCTGACTGGGTATCAAACTGGCAACCTTTCAGTTCACAGGCCAGCACTCAGTCCACTGAGCCACAACAACCAGAGGAGAAGGAGAATTTTTTTAAAGCAAGAAATTGAGAAACTACTTAAAAAAATTACCAAAAATTTCTTTAACCTAATGAAAAAAAAGGACACACAAATCCAGCAGTCCCAGGGAATCTCAGACAAGATGAACCACAGAAGGTCCATACCAATACACATAATAATTACAATGGTAAAAGTGTAAACAAAGGAAGAATCATGTCTACAATCATTTATC